CTCTGATGCGAAGGTCGAGAGGTACTTACCTTAGTATGGCCGAGTTTAGGGAGACGGTGCGGTACGATTTGCAGATCTTCTGAGCGAATCCTCTTTGAACAGTAACGAGGAGATTGCGGACACTTAGCTTCTAGATTTTCGCCGTTCTCGAAAGCTGTTTGTAAATATTTAGGGCCTTCCTACAGACACCGCTGACATGGGTGTTGAACATCAGCTTGTCGTCTATCGTCGATCCCCGCTCTCAGTTCATCGCATCTGTGACTGATTTCTAAACCACTGCTACTTAATTATTATTATTACGTTAGCGCAAGACTCGCGAAAGGTCTAAAATAAAAAATAAAACAAATCATCACAAAACACGTGATCTTTGATAAAAATATTTTTTATTGGTTTTAATGCCACATCTTTATCCATGACGAAATCTCAGTCACATGCGAAATCGCTGTGACTTAAACCAATCATGTCATCATAGGAATGTGATTAAAAAGTAGCAATAATTTCCGTGGTATCGCTCCGGTCGAGCATTTGCGTCGAAATGACTGTTCCACGGCAAAGAGTTATCAAGAACAAGAGAAATAAACACATTTGAGACTCTTTTCAATTCACCCATAATATATTTAAGTTAGATAATCTTGTCGCCAGCGACAAGTGAACATTTTGTTGCGGACGATAGGTACGTATGTCCATTTTACTTTGGCCTTGAAAAATAAAACTCATATTTTACAGACAATTAAATTGAAACACGTGAATGAATCGTGTTTCCAATAAGTCAGTCATTAAGTCATACCTAATAATTGTTTGTACGTTTGGACCACGTCATGTAATAGGAGTATAAATAATTTTATTTCATATGCTAGTATTTTATAAAATTCACATTCGTGTTTCTGCACAAACGGGCGAGCCGGCTAGACTGGAATGATAGCAAGACCTCACAGAAAACCGCCGTTAAGCGTTTGTTTCGTTGCTTTTTAATAAGTTCTTGAAGTTACTAGAAGCCAACCTCTCCTAATCCCGGGTGCGGGGGGGGGGGGTTCTTAGATAAATAGAATCTGAGTCATTCATGCACCATACTCGTATTTTAGTTGCAACAAGCTATACCTTCCGATAAACAGTTGGAGGTCAATAAAAACTGTGCAATTATGCGTTTTAGTTTTGTTTTAAAAAATTGTGTATTTATATGTCTATCGTATATTTATATGTGGGAATTGTATTGGATTGTGTGTTGTCAACCTATTCATTTTCTTTTTTACTTGTCTGATTGTTTCTCTAATAAAAAATAAATGAAATAAAATACATATACGTCAACATTAATGAACAAGTTACAAGCTTTATAGTTTTACATAACACACGTATATTATTAGTCGAAATATAAATGAAATATACTCTTTTAGGTATATTTCACAGAGTGGGACTGAACTTAAGTACTATAAATACTGACGCTCGTCAAACTAGCGAAATAAATAAAATGGCAACTCTCTCCCCCGACGTATCCTGTTACTTCACACCGTGTTATTTCAATGCGCTGATATCGAAACATTGGATTTTCGCCCGTGCTCACTCATCAATACAAATGTCTGTTACAGTATGTGTGACACAATGCTGATTCTGTTATACGATAAATATTTTATTTAGGTTTCTCCAGCTCTTGGACCCTATACGTTATGTGCATAGGGAATTTGAAAGAAAATAATTCTTCAGAAGACGGAATAGTTTTGAAGTACATCAGTAAAAATAAAAAATAAAAACAATTATTCTTCTGTGATAAAGTGATTAGAGAAGAACTTTACAAATAACTGTCCGTGTGGTAACGGATTAAGAATACGAAGTGTCAGCACCCCCCTTTTTTTTTCGTGCGGAAATCCTCTCGGATACCACCTATCGGTGGCATGTCGGACTCGAACCGACTAAAACCGCACGCCGTCTCGGGTACTAATAGCCGGGGAACCAGGTATACCCTAAAAAGGAAGTCCCTGGTGCCCCGACATACCTCGGGCCATCTACAGACGAGTAGACGATCTCCCCGTGTGGGAACCCCATGTTCCCTCTGCTCCCTGGAAGCGAGCGCGCTCGCCGCCACCCCGGCCTGCTTCTGCTAGGGTGACAGATGGCCTCACCTGTCACCCCCAGGCCTGCGCTTATGGAGGACGGAGGTCGTTCTGCGACCTCCAGCGCCTGAGTCGCCTGCGGTACCTGGCCAGTTCCCGGGCCTGGCGGGCTGGGAGAGTTCTAAACCTCTCCCGGTCCCGCTCCGCCGTCTCCTTCGCGAGCATAACTTGCTCGCAGAAGGAGACGGCAGAGTTCCAGTTCTGGCTATGGAGCGAGAGAACTCCATCTCCGATGGCCGCCACGAGGTCTCGTCTCTGCTCAACCCACGCCGGGCACTTTGCCAGCGTGCGGAGAGCCGTCTCCACGGTTTGGCTATCGCAGTGGTAGCACTCAGGCGTTGGCTCCTTGCGGATCAGACACAGGTGCTCCCCGAAATATCCTTTCCCAGTGATCACCTGCGTCAGTCGCTATGAGAGGGTCCCGTGACGCCTCTCGAGCCAATCCTCTTAAACATATTCCAGGTCGATTCGCTTTTACAAATATGTTTGGTTTATAAATCACAACTTATTTGCCATTGCGACAGTTTAGGTGTACATACAGCTGATATGATATCATAATTTTGTTTGGATAGGTAAAGATAGTGCACAAGATAGCGCTATTTACCCTTACATGATTAGAGAGTAAAATATTAGTTTTGATATCAATCAATTCGATACATTTAAATGATTTTTTAATCATAAAATACATAAAAGGTCTTGTAAAATGTCTGAAGGTGACACGATTCTCAGCGCCCCATGCCATGCCATGGTCAAAGACCAGTTGTAAAAAGGCGACGTCTGAAAAAATGGCCCTTCGTTTCTCGATTAACTGGATGTCTTAATAAAAAATATTCCTTGTCACCTTCAACTTTGGACACAGTATGCCAAACTGTGTGGTTTTAGTTACTTTAATTCCTTCATAGTGTTCCATGGAACCCTTTAGGTTTTCCACAAGCTCAATGAGGGTTTCACTTCAGTAACACATTTGTTGGGATTTGTACTCTCAACTCTTTGACAATAATAATAATAATAATATATCTCACACACTCACACACGGCCGTCTGATCCCAAACTAGGCAGAGCCTGTACTATGGTAACCAGACCAATAATAATAATAAACTCAAAAATCTCACACACAGCCGACTAATCTCAAACTATTCAGCGCCAGACTACTGATAAACATACTTATGTATATATTTTTTACTGAACACACACATTATAGATAAATTACACTCAGACACAGAACAAATGCTGCGGATCGATCTGGGAATGGAACTCACGACTGCTGGTTTAACAGTCAGGATCACCAAGCTCTAGATAACCTTAGCCTTTCATTTTTAGATAGTAGTAATACACGTTTAAAAAAATATGTGTTCGTCATAACATAACTATCCGTGTGTCCGAAACTCAATAATACAAGACGATGAACCGACATCCGCTCTCAGGCTGAAGGCGCAATGACTTCAGCGACTAGCATTACTGTGACTGTATTTCTAACGTCGTCTGCTCTTTGACTTGTGGGATGTTTGCTCAGTTTATTTACAAACTACTTCGTTATATTTATCTTCACTTAGATGTCTTATCTTAGACCGTCTTAAGTGGTTTCAGGGTAATACTTGAATCTATATTCATATAAATCCTATATATGCAGCTACATCTACATATATTTCTAGCTGCTTTTAGGCTCTGACTGAAATTCTGTTTGATTGTGTGTGATGTAGGTAGAAAAATACTCATGAGTATTAGCTGCTTACTCTTAGAATTTTTATGTAACTGATTCTTTGCTTAAATTATATTTCAAAAACTAATTTATTATTGCCTTCTAAGTATATCTTTAAGATACAGCTAGTGAATATAGTGATATATAGAACTCTGATTTGGAGACTTATTTTTATTTTAGACGTTGTTTCCAATCCTCTTTGATCTTTTAAAAACAGTCTTGTCACGAATATACTAAGATTAGTCGTTCGTAATTTTACGTTATCTAAATAAAATTAAAGCACTTCCAGTAGGAATGATTTTATAGTACCTACTTATTAGGACTTTTAAAAATATTACTTGATAGAACTTAAAATTTGCTTAGTTGACAAATTTGATTAAACATACAAAATCATATCAAAAAAATATTTTGATAAAATTGTTACTTGTTTGAAATGTGTAGTATAATAACCTGAGTAACACTCGTGCGTGGCGATATGTTCGTGGCCAGTTACTGTCACAAATATTCAAAGTTCCCTCGATCCCTGATGAAAATGAGGTAAACTAAACACAAAACATTGAATCAATTTCGAGTAATCGAGTTACATACATAAACAAAACAAATGATCGTGAATTCAGTATCTCTTCTTTTTTTGAAGTTCATTAAAAAGTATTTGAATAAGAAATTAATGCATAAAATTAAAATTATTTCTGTTTCATGCTTTTGGGTTTAATTAAATATTACGTTACGAGTCGACCAATTCTAACCAATTAATTATTGTTCCAATAACGGTTATACGTTATGACTAATCACATCACATTTGAGCACCTTCCATTAGCAAATTAATTCACTTAATTAAAACAATAATACAAGGTTAGACTATGTATGGACGTTGGCTCACCTTAATAGGTAGTTACTGAGTTAAGCCTAACTAGTCTAGCTAGCCTCAGTGATGTAGGTACTTATTTATTTATAACTTTATTCTACAACATAAACACTACACTTAACACATAAAAATACATGAATTACAAATATGTAGACGTAACGATCTCTTGCAGACAACCTTAACAAGGATATAAGGTATTATTAGGGTAGTTTACATACACTTATATTACACACTTATAACTAACAAAATAATAAATGTATTTTTTAATATTTATAAGTTATTTAATATAAATAATAATACAGCGGATACAGATTTAATTGAAACCCTTCTTTCAGAATTTTCTTGCGAGGAACAATTTCAAAAGTTTTCTAAACTCCAAAAGGCCGGGCTCATTTCCTTTTTTGTAGTAATCCAGCTCAGAACAGCGTTTTAACCAGGCCACGACATTAGGATACCTTGATAAAAACAGGTCATGAAATTATGATTTAACTCGATACTACAAATCTAATTCTTTTCTTCGAAATAAGCTTTTTTTTTGAAGAAAGGATTAAATTCTTTTGTAAAGACTATTGTTGTGAAAAAAAAGTGCGAGGCAAAACTTTGTTTCGATAGTTAAACAACAAATGCGTGTGTGGATAGGAACCTTTTTATCTCTCATGCAGAGCGCGTGCTACTGAGCCAATAATATAGTGACCACAGTCAATGCAACATGATCGAAACGACAGGACATTCAAAAATAAGTTATAATTGTTACAAGATTTCATTGATTACGTTGGAATGTAACAGTTTAAGACTGGTGCTATTGAACCCCAAACTTTAAAATCAAAAGGTACTTTTAATTGTCAGTGTTTATTCTATCTTCGTTTCGATCTTATCTGTAAGAGATACGAGTATCAGTCCGATTACTATCTCTTAAGATTATTACAAATCAATTTATATTGCCTTACAATACGTATAAAATAGGGAAAACCACTTTAATTATCCTAAATAACATAAACTACTTTATAAATTGCAATAACTTTGATATAGATTGTACAAAAATGTGTTGTATAATAAGCGATAGCACAAAATACAGTTACTTTACACTACAAGGGATTTGGTAGAAACTAGCTCGTTTTAAACCAGGTTTAGTTACCTTATTTTTCTGAAACACTATTGTATTTGTCGCATTAGAATTATATTCTATTGCCGTGTAACATTTATCAATTACGTTATTGGTAAATGTTACACAGAAATTCGGAAAGAAATCCTATTTTAATCAACTTTATGGTAAGGAGGTTCTCAATTCAGTTCTATTATTTTTTTCACTATCTGTTACCCCAGAACTCCGGTATTTCTAAACCGATTAGAACAATATTTTTTTGCCATTCGGAATTCGGTTTTACTTCCCGTTTGATCCTATTCAAATTTTATGGAAAAAATACGATAGAAAAAAAATACAATTTAAAAAGGAATGACAATTCATTATAATGTATGATATAGGCGCATAAGACTCGGTAATACTTCTTTTGAAAGTTAACTAAGTATGTACTCTTTAATCTTCAGGTCTTAAGCATTTAGAGATAAAGATAGCCTTGAAGCGGCGGCAGCCTAGTGGTTAAGGCATTGGACTTGCGATCAAGAGGTCGTGGGTTCCAATTCTGACCAGTACACTACCGACGTAAACCTAGTCCTAACACAAGCTATTTAGATTAGCGGGAGGGGTTAACGGGAATACTAAGACCTTTTTTACAAAAAAAATAGCTCCACAGTATTATAATACGATGACGTTTGACATTTGTTTTTACTTACAGTATCGTTTTGGGCTAAATCCTGTAAAGACACTGTAATTGTTTTTAATAAATAAATATGATGGAAGTTCCAAAATTAGTATATATTTTTCACAATGTTTATGATGCACTTTTACGTTAGCTCGGAACTAACTTTTAAATTTTCACGAACCGTCATATACATACATACATGAATGACTACAGGTATTAACGTGATCACCTAATAGGTATTAAAAAAAAACGGATTGTATGTCGTGACAATATTCCACTAGTTTTGATCACAGGATTAGTGGTTCAATAGTGCACGTACTCTGTCATGGATTACATGAGAAAGAAAGATCTCCATCCACCCACACTTTAAAAAAGGTATGTTATTTAATTTCTTTATGTATCGTCACATACTATCACTAACTAGTGTCCGGATTTTAGAAAAAAACAATGCTTTACTCAGCAAAACTCTTATACGAGAACTAACCGTTTGTAATGTTTACATAATATTGCCTCTCTACAAACTTAAATATTTGTGATTCAAGTCTCTTTAAGTTCATCTATACAAATAAATAAAATTGGAATGTCTGTTTGTAATATTAAAATAACCGCTTTTTACTAAATGCATATGTATGTTTACACGGTACATATGCCAAAATAACATTTTTTTCAATTTTTGTCAGTCTGTCTGTCTGTTTGTTCCGGGTAATCTCTGGAACGGCTGGACCGATTTCGACGGGACTTTCACTGGCAGATAGCTGATGACATAAGGAGTAACTTAGGCTACTTTTTTAGACTAACTTCGCCCCGCGGCGTTGCCCGCGATTATAACAACAAACGCGGGTTACACCGCGGGTCTCAGCTAGTATTTCATATGAATACTGAAATAAAATTAAGTATAAATTTAGTCACTTACACATTTTCGTCAATTGGTAACAATTCATTCAGTGTACTGATATTGGCAACGCAACTGATGTCTGCTAGTGTAGGCTCGTCACCAGCAAGCCATTGCACGCCATTAAGGAATTTCTCAGTAAAATCATAAGCTGACTCAATCTTGGCCAGACCTTCCGGAGTAAAAGATGTAGCTTTACCGAAAAATACGGGTTCCTGAAATTTGTATACATTTTGACATCGATATTCAAACCAATCCATACCATTATTATAAATGCAAAAGTGTGCGTGTTTATCTATCTATCTGTCTGTCTGTTACCTCTTCACGCTTTAGCCGCTGCACCGGTTTAGACTAAATTTATTATGGAGATAGTTTGATTCTTGAGGAAGGACATAGGCTACTTTTTATCATAAAACTAACTAAAACGCGTTTTTCCCATTAAATTTTCCTCGTTTTTGCAACATTGTTTATTGATGTTTAACTCCTATTAGTGGTAGCATGATTTTGTTAAGCCTAAAGCCTTCCTCGATGAATAGGGTAATCCACACTTCAAGATTTTTTTAATTCGATCCAGTAGATCTTGAGATGAGCTCAATTAATCAAACTAACAAACTCTTCAGGTTTATAAAATAGGCGTAGATATAAGAACATATTTACAGCCTAAATAAATTATGGATTTTCATTAAAAAAATGTACATGGTACTAAATTTTTTGCATCAGAGCTACGAAGCTTATTCAATGTTCAAAAAACATTGGTTTGGCTACACTCCACAGTTCATTTCAATATTGAGTATGAGTGACTAAGTATATATATATATGGGTTCTACTTGAGAATTAACTAAATGCCAAATATGCATGGTGTGAGGCAGTCAGATAACAAATATTTGATCTTAATCATTAATACTTACGTCATTCGTACGTAATGCCGGATAAAGAATACCGCTATCGAAGTGTAGCATCAAATCAATGCGCGCCCTTTTTTCTGGATCCATTGGATAGAACGAACTTCCCCTGTTAAATTTATTCACCAAATATGTTATGATTGCATGGCTGTAACAAATTGAAAAACCATTATAAAGTGTTACATTCTTCATCCATTTGACTGCTCGGTCTATACACTTCTCGTGGCCAATCAATGTAGCAATAGTGCCAACATTCTGGGAACGCTACCAGAAGGCGGCGATTCGTGCATTTTTTAATGCTTGTTTGTAAATAATTTAATAATAAATGTCTTATTTTCAATGACTATTTCTATATTTATGATATATAAATATAATGTTATGGTCCTCAATTCCCCTGCATTTGTTTTTTTATTATGTTTTATACAACATAACCTCGTCTATAAGAAATTGATTTCGAAAATTCTTTTTTTAGTGTTATAGGGCCTTTAGGGTATACTTTCTGTAGTTTTCCATTCAAATTTAAAGTAAAAATACCACCCGTTCACATTTGAATGCACAGGACGGAAAACTAAGGGATGGGAAATACAGTTTGTTGTTATTTACCAAAATTCAATGCCATTTACCAAAACCTAACTTTGCAGTCGGTGATATTTAAAAAAAGTTAATTATGTCTTGTAAAGGGGAAACCGTGTGGTGACGGATTAAGAATACGGAGTGTCACCTATTCATCCCTTAGGTGTCGTAAGAGTTGACTAAGGGACCATAGTACGCAAGACAACATCACTGCAAAGGGAAGGAATACATGACACAAACCCTATACCAACTTATGCAAGCGAAATAAAACGAAATTTAATTCAATATTTTGTGACCATTGGCACTGACCTCTATTATACTTACAACCACGTGTACCTATGTAGTCGTTACAGCATCCCTTACACCCTGTATACGTACATCATAAAAAGACCTGAGACGAGAAGACGGGTCTCCTGACGGTGAAAAAAGATGTTCTCCTATTTCAAAGGCTGGTAATGCCCTTGCGACGCTTGAATTGAAGATATCCATCGGTGGCTTTCATCACTTTCACCGTCTCATACATCACGTGACCCGCCTGTCTATTTGCCCTACCATAAAAAAATAAACAGTGTGTGTACATCCTTACCTATCCCAAATATTGAAATCCCCATCCGTCAAATGTGGTATGGTGTGCTGTGGGTTGAGCTGTAACATAGAAAATACTTGTTATAAATTTATTTTAAACCAACTGTAGAATGAATCAAGAATGAATTCACTTCAATTCACTCCTTGTTAAAGAAAGGATTTAAAAAAATGAGTAGTTTAACACGAAGTCGCTTAACAAGATCGGTGTATATCCATTATCTCCTCCCAAACCATGCAATGTATTTTGATGCAGTTTTCACCATTAGTTAGATATTTTTCAAAGAACCCAATTAACCTCTCATTTAAGAAGGATTAAAACAATATTTGCCACTAAAAGTAGCATTCAGTTCCTAGCAACCGCGACCCGCGACCGCCAGAAGGTCGCACGACCCACTGCTTTGTACCAACTTATATGGAGTATTCGGGTCCTCACGACCGCGTGAGGAGACCGGTGGCCGTGGCCAGTTGGCGGCGTGGCGACCGCGATCCGGCCGCTCCAGAGGCAGTACAGTCGCGCGACGCTGGCGGGAAGCGCATTATTATGGTGGCGTTTCCAGCGAACGAGTACGAGAAATTGATTGAATTGGTGAATAAATAGCAACTCTGTTCTTTTCGTGATATGAAAATTGAGTCAATAATCATTCTTTTTTTCTGGAGGCATAGATAATAACATTATAAGATTATCATCATCGTCTTCATCTTCCAACAGCTGCTGAATAGCTTTTTTCCCACCTACTGCAAAATATTCTTACATATCGCACTGGTCGCGTCGCTGACATTAGAAAACTATGATAAGTCGCCCCGCGACTGGCAACCATGGTGGCGTAGTCGTATGGTCGCTAAAAACCCAATGCTACCTTTAGTCCTCAAAATGTAAGTGAATTATGTAGGCCTAAGAAACGTTATAATAATAGACAAAACAAAAGGTACACACGGTCGACGGGTTACTAGTGAAAGATAAAATACAAAAGAATTGAAGTCAAAAACATTCACATTATATAAAATTATCTAAGTATTGAAATAAACTCTAAATAAAACAATCATAATGTTGGCCTGCAGCTTCAATGAAACAACTCGCATGTAATTGATAGTTATTCGATCTACAAAATACGTCATGACTACAGAGGCTGCTATTTATGTAACCGGAATAACAAATTGAAACAAGCATAATAATATAGCATTTGTTATGGTTTTATTGCTTTTCAAAATATCGCCGTGATGATCGATGCACTTTTGGATACGTTGGAACCAATTTTTGTAGCACTTTTTCTTTTCTGATTGTGGTATCTTAGAAACGTGTATTTTGAACGCATCAACAGCCTCTTCACGGCTCGAAAAACGTTGAACACGTTATTTATTCTTCACGGTTGGGAATTGAGAATAAATAGGAGTCGTTGTGGGAGAAGTCAGGGCTGAACGGCGAATGACCCGATGATTCAATCTTTTGATCTTCCAAATACTGAGTTATTTCGGCCGATGTGTGGCAGCTAGCATTGTCATGATGAAGAAGGATTCTGTGTTGTCGGTCATTCTTTCTTATTTCTTCAAAGACTTCTGGCAAACAAATAGTCTTGTACTATTCAAAATAAACTGATTAAGATCCTCTAATGGCACTGGAGGTACATGTCCATTTACACCAAAAGAAAACAAGCCACCATTTGCTTCAAAGTGCTTTTTGAACGAATGACTTTTGTTGGGTTCGGCTCATCTTTCAACACCCAAAGTTGTTTGGTTTCAGGATCATACGCATATATCCAAGATTCATCACCTGTGTAGATATTAAAGATAGCTTTTGACGCACCCTGATTTTTGTAACATGTTTTTATACCAATCGGCACGAGCCCGTTTTTGGTCAATCCTCAAGTTGTGCGGTATACAACGTGAACAAATTTTTTTACAGCTAAATGTTCTTAAAATATTTTGTATATACTCGTCATACTTATTCCCAGAGACGCCTCTATCTCGCGATATGTAACATGACGATCTTGCATTATTAGTTCCCGCACAGCATCAATATTTTGAGGTACAACAACCGATTAAGGGTGACCTTCTTTAAATTCGTCCGTGAGCACAGACCGCCCTTGATTAAACACACTAAACCAGTGATACACATTTGCTTTGATAGTGCTTCGTCTCCAAAATTCGAAGTGGGTTGATCAATGCACTGTTTTTGAGTCAATCGTAATAAATCATAGCACGAAAATTTTCACGAGTTAAATCCACAGTGATAAAGACACGCAATTTTAAAAATGAAGCCGGATAAATGTTATAAGTCCTTTTTTAATATTGTTCTGTAACTGGCCAGCTCCGGATACATAAATAGCATTCCTCGTACCAATATAATTGCATTTGTTTCGAATGTAATTGCATCGAAGGGGGATAAACGGCTGAAAAGGTTTGTACGACACAATGACATCTATCAATCATTTTAGGGACAAGAAAGACTTTTTATGACTACCGCGGCCGATATACACCTGAAACGAGTTTTCAGTAGTGTCAATCCGGTCCAGCCGACCTATGTATACTGTCAAAACTTATTATTTCATGTGTTTCTTTATTCCTTGCAAATAAAATGCATTTTGCAATACTATCAGTTATGAAGTCATTTCTGATTCAGTCGTAAAGAAACACGAACAAACAAATGTCATATAAAAATAATAATTAGAAAAACGAATAACATAACAACAAGGAGACAAACATAGTAATAAAGAAATAATGATACCGTAATTATAATCCATCATATTATTAACACAATTTTCCTTAACACCAGCATGACTTTCAATAGCTCACAAAACGAGATTATTAAATTAAGAGCGTTAAGTATAACTTGTTATTTATATACTAATCTTAACGTCAAGACATGACCAGTAGAAGCTGGTTGAAATGTCAGGCAATTCAAAAGTATATATCATCTGTTATGTGATCACCAAAGTTTAAATCTCACCAAAATAAGCTTAGAAAAAAGTGTTATTTGGTAAATATTTCAATATACCTTTAAGAAATCCTCTTTAAGATGTTCATCTTCCAATAAATTCAATTCGACGTAATTTACATCAGGGATGTTTAGGGCCTCAATAACCATGTAAACTGCCCGAACAGGGGGACTGGCATCCATTTTATATAATGTCAAAACCATGATGAATACTGGAACAGAAGAATCAGTCAATCGAAAAAAATTTAAACGTTGATCATCGACATGTTCGAATATTTTAACTGGAGTAAGTTTATTTTTAAACGACTTCGAAAAGGAGGAGGTTATCAATTGGGATGTTTTTTTTAATGTATGTTCATAACTCTGTCATGTATAGACGTAATGGTCCCATTTAAATTCCACATAGATCTGATGATGAGTTTCGGATACAAACAACGAAACTCTTAAAAAAATGACAGCAAATCCACCGCAATTGCTGCTTGGGTTTTAGTTCTCTTTGTTGTTAGTATTGTTTGAAGTCGGTTCAACTTTAAAAAAAAAAGATTTTATCACTAGATTTTGTTCGGTTTAAAGTTAATTCTCTATTCCCCAGGGACAATAATTTTTCTTGACGTCCTTTTTGTATCCCCGAATATGTTAAAGCGTCACAGATAAAGATATCACTTTCACATTATTTAAGCGTTATAATTCGTATTTTATTTAATAAAACAACAACTGTTACTATGTATTAGGTATATCAAAGTTTTGAAAAGTACTAAGTTAGTAGAAGCAAAAAAAAAAGAGTGCTTAAAATGTTAAAAACTACTTACCGAAATGTATTAGTACTCTATTAAGCAGAGATGTAAAATAAATTTATCAATTAAGCTATATTTATAAGGAGCACGTATTATCAATAATAAGATATTAATACTAACCAGTATTCGATAAACAATTTAAATCGAAAACTAAAAATCGAGACTAAGAAATTACACAGCAAGAACAGAGAATCACTTATACAAGTTTTTGATTAAACGTGGAATATTTTGCTTGTATAATAAATAATATGTAACAGTGGAACGATTACTCCGTACCAACGCAGTGCTAGTTGTGAGTCATATCGTAGTGAGTGAATATGTGATGTCAATTCATATGTCGTGTAATACTCACCTATAATACTTAGCTGTACTGTTCAATGTTTTGTGATAGTCTTAACCAAATTTATGAGGCTTTTTTATGATAAATGTAGCAAGAGCACGAGGTATAACTCACCCAATGGGAAGTGACCACTGATGTTCATGAACGCCTGAAACTAATCAAAAGCGAGTTGCCAGCTGGCCTTAGAAGTAGGACTACGCTCTATTCTTGTAGGACTATCAGAAGAAACATCATCCTCATCAACAGCCTTTAATAGTCCGTTGCTGGACATAGGCCGATCCTTGGAAAGTTAGAGGCGTAGGTTATGGCCTACTATACCACGCTGCCCAGACGGTTTTTATTAGAGTTTGTTTCAAGTTTTCCTTAGACACTCACGGGATAAATAGAGGTGGTGACACTCCGTATTCTTCATCCGTCACCACACGGATAATCAAAAGAAACAGGAATAGACAAACAATTCCAATTAAAAAATATGATAACTTACTCACAAAATGTTTTCATAACTACCCGCTTTTTTTTTCACCCTGACACATCTCACACACGGCCGTCTGATTCCAAACTAGGCAGAGCCTGTAACCAGACTGCTGATAAACATACTGATATAGTTTTAAATACATACATATTTAGATAAATTACACCCAGACACAGAACAAATGATCGTGCTCATCACACAATATTTCTCCTGGGTGGGAATCGAACCCACGACCTCCGGCTTAGCAGTCACGGTCACTAACCACTAGACCAACAGGCCCGTCGGCTATATATAAAGTTATTGTAATAATTGTTAAGAGTTTAACCATAATAGTCGAAGAGGCCTTTTAAACCAATTAATATTGAACTTAAACTAGTCGGAATATTTCAAGTAATCAAAAGGTCTATATTAATACGCTAAGAAAATTCTTTGTTTCCCTATGTAGGGCTCCGTAGCTAAAATGGCAAAAAGGGAACCCGTATAGTTTCGCCATGTCCGTCAGTCTGTCCACACTATATCTTACAGACTTAGTGCTGGAAACCTGTCATTTCGCATGAACATACGAGTACATACTAATCACACCGACAAAGTGTTGAAATAAAATCTTGAAAAATATACTTTTCTTAATAATTTAGTCATCTGATGGAAAGTGACCACCGCCGCCCATGAACTATTTTGGTTAAGATATCCGTTTCTGAGATATTAAGTCTTAAAGCGCGTATTTTTGTTACAGTCAAGTGAAACAAGCCAAATGGCAGTATTTGAAAATCTGAAAAAAAAAAACACCGTAGCAGCATATATAGCGAATTTAAAAGAAAAAAGATCAGAGCTCAGTAAACTTTATCAGTTTACGAGTAATAGTCGACCAACTAATTCGAACGTGAAATGTTTATAGTAGAAAAAACCTTTATGTATTTATTAATATTTTACTTATATGTCTTTTATATTATAACTTTATTAAAAAAAAAGACGTGTGGCACTCGGGGACTGCCGTGGTAAAGCTATTGCATAGCATTTTGTATCAACTTATGCAATTATAATTATTTATTTATTTTATTAATGCAGTATTTCTTTTTCTTTGATATTAATTCAAGTTACACTTTTTGAGCGTGGTGACCGATAAGAAAACATTTTTTTTTCTTTTATTAATTAAAAATATTGAAGCATATATTACAATTTGTTTTTAAATAAATAAATAAAAAATATTATTATAAAATCAAATTACATATCCATGTAAGATTTTTCTGCATTATGTTGACGAAATTTCCTTTGACGTTCAGCATTTGATTTTGGTACTGTTTTTTGTTTTGTTTTTAGCGTGAGGTTTTTTTTCGTTACGGAATTTCTGGATTCGGTCCCCGCGCTCAAGGCCCTCGATAGAAGCTATGCAATAGCTTAAAAACACATATTCAATAACATGGGAAATTAAATATATGGCTAAATATATTGTACGGCATACCTATAAGTGACTGTCTCTGTGGTCTAGTAGTTAGCGTATGCTATTGCTAACTGGGAGGTCCAGGTTTGATTGTGAAAGTGTTACTTTTCGAATTCTCAGTAGCAGCATGGAATCTGGAAATGTGCCCGGTAAACGACAATAGGCTCAACCCCTATTAAGTGGGATTTAAAAACATACCACGAAATGTGTTACCATCGTCCTATGTGAGCCCTTGTTTAGACGTCATGAGCCGCCGACTCCGTTAAACACTCAGCAAAACACTAGAAATCCTCGTATTAGTTCGCATTATGCTGGTAGGAACTACGGTACCCTACATTGGGCGTGACTCGACACGCACTTTGTCGGGTCACTTTCTTTAAGTTTATGTAGCAAACTTTTAAAGGAAATGTGCAATAGAATTAAAGTTTATGTAAGAACTGTCTCATAAACTAAATGCGTTCAGTATATATTTTGAACTGTCATAAAAATAAAAGTCTGTCATATTCAATTGAGTTAAGGTTTGTCATACATTCCACACATACATAGATCAAATTCAAAATAATCAGTTTAGACTAAGATTTAGAAGAAACATTGAACTATTTTACTAAGATAGTTTGGCCTATTTGCTACCTAAACTAACTACTATGTATTATATTCAAATACATTATATATATATATATATATATTATTATACATACATGGACAGGATCGCTTATCCTGTCCGTGTAGTGACGGATTAAGTACACGGAATGTCACTACGCCAATTCATCCCGTAGGTGTCAAGGGCCGACTATGGGCGCAAAACAACGCAGGACACCAGCACTGCAAAAAGAAGGAAAACTTAACATAAACCCTGTACCAACCCGTCTGGCCAGCGGTGGTATAGTAGGCCAAAATCTCCTTTCTAAGGCCTATGTCCAGCTGTGGACTATTAAAGGCTGTTCATGTGATGATGTGAAGCGATCTTAATTTCGGTTTGCTTTATACAGCATTAGCATCCTTTATAAGGTGTGAAAATAAGTAACCTACAAATTGAGAATTAATTTGAGTCCATTCTTTATCCCTTTAGTACTCGTGACCTACTTTTAGAGTTTAAAAATAAGCGAGCCTTCATAGTAAAGATATTTACGATGCGCACAAATTACAAAATCCAATTAGAGTGGATTAATTATGCATGCCCGGAAGCTCTACAGAAAAATAATGAAATAATGTACAATAAAGTTTCATCAAGTAAGCAGATTCATAATCTTAAAAGATAAAAATATATTGTGTTTACGTTTTTACTACCAAATGAAAATAACATTAAAACTTATATGTGTACCAAGGGACATATTAGATACATCGTGTTCTTCAAAGTTTTAATCTTCACTTTTTTATTCGCTTAAGAAATCTTTTTATGTGACTTATAAAGTGTGTATTTCGTCAGCTTCACTAATAAAAAAATCCGGACAAGTGCGAGTCGAACTCGCCCACCCAGGGTTGCGTACGAATTTTTAGGTACATTGTATTAATGTTATGTCCAAAATTCAGTTTTACTTGATTAGTTACATTATTGTGTTTTATAAGTGAAATTGTACCTTGATGATTGATTACGTACTTTAAATGAAGACTATATATCCTGAGAATGCTGAACCAGTCTCGGTACAGACGACGGGAACCCATTTCAAGAAGTGAAGCTACCGCTACTACGGTTTTTCCCTACATGTCATGAAAAATGAAAACTCTTTTTTATAATTTTCTTGTTGTCTAAAAACTATATTTATAGACATTATGACAATGTTTGAATAGATAAATCGTCTCAGAAATTGCTACTAAAATTTAATTATTATCAGTCTTGTGAGATAATCGGAAACTGATTTTTATTCCAACGCCATCTGTGTATTTAGTTAGGAACTTGATCTGCTGATTGTGACTTTCATGTTCATGTAGTTCCAAAAATATGTTAAGCAATTCAGCATCCTATGTAATAAAGGCAATGTAATGAATCAAGTACAATAGCAGGCCTGTACTTTATTGATAATTTAGTCTTAGACAAAATAAATTCTAGATCTAAACCAAAAATTACCTAGGTTTTTTATTTATTTATAACTTTATGCACTATTGTAGATCGGCGGATTAATGCCATGGGCATTCTTTTCCAGTCTACCTTTAGGTGGTGTAGAAATCGCCAGTGGTAGACGAGCATAAATCACATTACTAATCAACTAAAATATATAAATTTATTATATTATTTATTATACATACATAAATTTATATACAAATATGTACATGCTATTTATAAATATACACTATACACATTTACATTTGAACACAATGAAACTAGCTGTTGTTGTTGTATTTTGCTATTATTTTACTATTGATTAGATAATTCTGCCATCTCATTAAGTGTGTATGAGCAAACGAATTTTTAACTTGGTTAAAAGTATTTAAAAGTTATTTTGCTTCCTTTAAATAGCTATTTTTAAACGACTTTTAGACCAGTTTTTCATATCAGCTTCGTTACTTACCATCAGCAGTGGTGCCATACTACGACACTAATTCGACGCTACTGCGCTCGCTGTAGCGTCGAATTTCAAACCAACTTAGGTTGAACTTCGGCGCTGTGGTCAGCTGTTTCCTTTGAAAATAGCACTGCTGATCGTAAGTAACGACCGCCGCGTATGGACACCTACCACTCAGGTTTCACCCGTGCGTTGCCGCTCTTTGACTCCCTGGAATCAGGCTTTTCGGGCAGAAAATTTCAATGATTTTCTACTCAGATCGATGGTCTGAATACTTTATTTCAGTCTTTGTCCCCTTCGGTCCCTTACAGCCTGTATGGTTCTTGAAGACATTGGAAAACAACAGTAAATAGTCGTGCAATGTGGCGGTTTGCTAATAGGTACTAGTAGTAATGTTATATAAATATTTCGGATATGTCCGTCAATACTCGGTGTCTTCCAAATAAATAGTCCAAACTCCGTCTGTTTTCTATGCGCGCCAATGCCGCATACTTAATAAAATGACAGCACTTGTAATTTAAATTTAACAATGACATTATGTATTCATTGAATATTAAATACAGTGCCCCTAAAATACGCAACTAGAAATTACAAATAAGCAATTCTAATACACTATTATCAGCTATACATGAATTGTTTATTTACGTTTAGAGGCCTTAGCAAAACGGGCAACAGACCGAAGTCCGCCTGTGTCAGGTAAGGATGAAAGGTGTGTAATACTCCGTGTGGTAACGGATTAAGAATACGGAATATCACCACTCCTATTCATCCCGTAGGTGTCGCAAGAGCCGACTAAGGGAGCAAATTACACAGGAAAACAGCACTGCAAAAAGAAGGCAAACTTGACACAAATCCTATACCAACTCGTCTGTCCAGCGTGATATAGTACCCCAAAAGCTCGTTTCTAAGGGGAGGCCTATGTCCAGTAGTGGACTAGTAAAGACTGTTGATGATGATGATGTAATTTATAATAATAATATTTCAAACACTCTCTCACACTGAGTGATATAATTGTTTTCATTTGTAACTGAAAGTCAAGAAACTTGTGCAACAGAATGCAAAATATTAAATCACTTAATCCCATGTACGAGTATAAGTACTCGTCTATAGTATAAGTTTGTTTGTGAAGTTCTGTACATATAAATGTTTAGTACAAATAATTAAGAGCTTCCTGCTGCATGATACAAAACAGAGAGAGTTTTATGCCTGTTTAAAAATTATATGTTCAGAAAATTAAGCCTACTTAAATTTAAAATAGAAAAAAATGAAGGTTATTACTAATCAATTTACTTTAAAAATGTTATTTAACACTCATGATATCATAAGTTTGGAACTTGAACACTAGGATTACATTAATTAATGATGAACCTATTAATTAAAGTTGAAAGCATTGTTACTTAATTGATTCAATTCAAATACGTTTTTAAATTCCATAAGTCTTTCAGTCAACTTACTACTTAAAAACTCGACTAAACTTGTATATTTCTCAGAATAATTGAAAAAGAATACATATTAACAATTCAAATAAACCAAAACGTACCAAAGCTATTAAACCTTTTAACATTAAAAAACTTTGTACACATCGAACCATTAAAGTCCATTTAAACTAGACCTGGAAATTATTGCTACTTTTAAATCATATTTATTTGATGAAATTATTGGTTGTAGTCACCGCGATTACACATGTGATTGTGATTTCGTCATAGACCATGTTTTTTTTTGAAGATTTATGCGCTAGCATAATGATAATAATTAAGTCACAGTGGGTTTGTTAATCAGTTACTGGTGTGATGATGTGATTTATCACATGTGATTGTCATTTTAGTCCATCCCTAATTTAAACTTATCATCGCACTACTGATTAAAACTGTCAATTAGGTAAAATACACAGTAAAAACTTGTAATAATATTAACAAAAATAATTAACTTTAAAATATCACCGACTTCAATTATGATGAAATATAATAAACTGTATTCTTCATTTCTTTACTTTCTTACTTCAAATTACAATGGGATTAATCTGGCAGTATATCCTATAGATTTTTAAAAATCAGTCCACAAATGATGGAGTTCTAAATTAACAAATGTAAAAAAAAAACAACCGGATTAAAATATTTTGAAGTCGGTTAAAAAGGATATAAAAAGGTAACATTCATAGTTAATTTCCTTAACATATTAAGATACATATTTTATTGTCTTTTAATTTTCTTGAAACTCTTTTTCGCTCGCATTTCCATTACGTATTTATAAAGTTGTCGAACACAAACTGCCACCACTAACACTAAAACTAATAGATCCAGGTAGCATCTTTGGTATAATGATACAGTGAGCGCCGGGGAGCGAAGGTGGGGGGCTCCACGAGTGCGCACCACGTGTTCCACCCAATAGGCAAGTGCTGGCCCAGGTTTCATTGGACGATCGTGGAATATTGCTGACACTTCCTTAGCTTTGGCTTTGAATCTGCAATTTATTAAATCTATATAATATCAAGTTGACACGCCTCACACACGGCAGCCTGAACCCAAACTAAGCAGTGCCTGTGATAGCGTAACCAGATTGCTGATAAACATACTTATAAATTTCTAAATACATACAAATTATAGATAAACTATACCCAGACACAGAACAAATGACCGTGGTCATATTTGTCCTGGGTGGGAATCGAACCCACGACCTCTGGCTTAGTAGTCAGGGTCACTAACCACTAGATCAAAAGGCTTGTTAAATTAACGTCATCTCAACTGAAAGACTTCCACTGCTGGATATAGGCTTTCTCTAAGCTTCGCGACAACAACCGTTCTTGTGCTGCCCTTTTTTTTTTTAACGTGTGGAAATCCCCTCGGACCGTCACCCCACCGGGGTTTGCGGTGGGCGGTTGTTCTTGTGCTGCCCTCATCCAACGTCCACCAACGACCACCTTGTGGTTGAGCTACCCACAAAAAAGCAAACAAACGACTTTATTTAATTAAATTGCAAAAAGTTTGGTCCCATCGACAAAATACGAGGACTCCTTTAAATGAAAAAACGGTTTTTTTTTTTCATTTCGGTTTAAAAATGACGGAGTTCTGAGGCAACAAACATAAAATGTTTAACAGAAAACGATGGGCGATTGTTCCTAAATAATCAATCGTATTCGTTGTCAAGATAAAACAATCAAATGACTATCGAAGAATCGAATGAATTGTTTTAATATACATATGATGGATGAATGATACGTTGTTTGCGTAGTACAGCAAGGTGTGCGTGTGTGTACATATATGGATTAGCAAAACATGTCGCAGAAGGAACGAATAAATTATAATTGTTTTAGTAGTTCGCGATCGATTGTAAGAGAGTGCGTGCACGGGTGACTTTGTCATAGTGACACATTGTTTTTAAGGGCCTGACCGCACAGCTATATTTCATCGCACGTTTTTTTCGGCAAATTCTGTGACAAATTGGATCTAAATAGTACTACTGGCAGGAAAAAAATCACAAGAAAAAATAAACCTTGATTTGTTGCAAATTGAAAGCGAGTCAAATAAACTCATAGTCCGGACTAGAGTGACAAAACAGCGACGGTGACAAAAGTCACCCGTGCTTGCATCCTCTAAGTCGAACTTGAGGTCACGCGCAACGCTCATGAGTGAAATTTTGATGTAGCGACCGGCAGTTGCGTTTTTGTTGACTTTTGTTTATTTTGTTCGGCTTTAGTTAAAAATGCCAAAAGACCACACTACCGAAGTAGTGTGGAATTTAAAAAAAATATAAAGACGGCCATGACAAAATTCACTGTGAGCTTTATAATCATACTGCAATATATCATAAAAATACTACCAATTTAAAGGACCACTTAAAAAGGAAATACCCTTTTCAATTAGGACAGTTTGAGAATGAAATAAGACCACAGGCACATCATGAGCCATCACAAAGACAGGAAACGTCTAAAGCTTCTGCCACCGCGGCCGGCGACGGCGGCTAAAAAGCATTGACAAATGCGACTACGAGTATATGCAGCAACCAAAAAACAATAGAGAGCCATTCTATTCACCCCGTTTTGCTAAAAATGATAGTATCGGCCTTTACCGGCGATACCTAGTCGAAAATAAAGGCTTTATTTATTTTATTAAATTGCTGCAACCCAAGTATCATTTACCAAGTAGAAACAAAAATCTGAAACATTATTGAAAAACGACCACGATTTAGTAAAACGAAGTTTAAATAGTAGTATTGTAACCCATTTTTCAATAACAACAGACATGTGTACAGTCGACGGACGATGACGGTGGACGTTGGACGTTAGTGCAGACAGCAACAAATGCTATACAACAGTTGACTTTACTTATAATTTCGTGTTAATAAGCTGTGTTCTTGGTACAGAAGAAGTGACCACAAGTCATAGTTCACTTCATATTTCAGAAGGAATAATTAATATTTTGTCGAAGTACACTCGTACCCTTGACAAAATATTTCAACCCATAGGCCCTTCTAACCAAGCCAAAAACGTAGTAGTTATTCGAATAAATTGCGCTAACGATTAATTCGATTGTAACAATCAACCATCGCTACAGTGAATTGAAAACATCCTACTTTCTTGAAAGTTCATTAATACGAGTAAATTTACTGATATTTTGTCTACATTACATATGGGTGGTTAAAGAGTTGATCAACATGTAGCCGGTGAATTGTACTGGTAATGTCTTAGTGACCAAATTAACAACACAACAACAACAATGTCTTAGTAACCAAATTAACAAATTAAATATCATATTTTTTCCTCAGAAATAAACTGGTATATTGTTTTAGTGATTTAACTTACGTTTCATCAGATAAGACCTGTCTTATGGCAGCATTAAGCTCATCAGCCATATCTTCAGCCAATGTCACTTTAATCCCAAAACCTTTCCTCTCCACCGATCCCATGTTCACGTGCTGATCTGCCATTATAGGGATACCGACTAGTGGTACACCAAAATGTACTGCTTCTGTAGTGGATAGTTGGCCTCCATGTGTTATGAATACTTTCAGATTTGGGTGTGCTGGAATATAATTTTAGAGAGCGATTAGAACTCATATTTAACTCAACTTTACTTAACAATATGACAAGTTTACTTTGATGTGTGTCAAATTCTCCCTCAGGATGTAATTAATTTATTCTTACAAAGTTATCATTTTTATGAATATTTTTGTTGTATTTATAGTCTAAATTATTAATAATAATTACTAATAGGTAATTAGTTGTCAACTAATTAACGACATCTCCCAAATCCCCTTTAATCCTTAGGAATAGTAAAATAATGTTGAGTTTTATTCCTTACTTACAAACAAACTTACAAAATAACAGAACAAAATAACAGAACATAACCCTTCCTTAGCAGCCGGGCAAAAAAATTTAGATTTTGGCATTTAGGCATTTAGAATTTGATAGTCAATATAACCTCACTTACCTAATATACTTGGTTGTGGCGCCCACTTCACAAAGTGTACATTGGGTGCTGAAATCTCCGTATCACTCTCGAATTTCCATATGACAGTCTGGTCAAGCTTGCTAAACATCTTTATAAGTGATTGCTTCATTTCTTCGGACATGCCGTCGCTCTTCATATTCGATCCCAAACTGAAGTATATCACCCCATTTTTGGCTTTATCCATAATTGTTTGTAAGTTCTGTAGAATAATAAGTACTACATTTTACCTTATAAATTTCTGACAAGTATGTCAAGGCCCGGAGCTGGTAGCCAAAATCTAATAACAACATCTGCTATGTAGTTTTTTTGAACTATGTTCCGACTTACTTTACACTTGTAAAGAGAGCCTGCGTATTAAATCAGAATCATTACTAGTAGCTTTGTTTATATTTAGGGCTTTGCAAAAATATGGTTTTTATTTTAAATTATTGTTGTAAAGTTTGGCAAATAATATATTCCATGTTATATAATTCTCATATGTGGTGTTAGCATTGAGTTGGTTTAACACGGTATATAATGAAAAATGTTCATTTGCGAATAAAAAATATCTATAAAAACAATAAGCAAATGTAAGTGATCATGGGTAGCATTGGGCCAAGTCATGTTTAACACGGGCAGTACTCTAATATAGGTAAATTCTTAAGAAATCATTGCACGTACAGAGGCAAACTATTGTAACCTGTTAATGGATCCATGAACTTTAAACGTGAAACATACTAAGGAAAATACAACATACGTGGAACCGGCAGCATGGCATGACAAATAAATATGATCAGGAATATTAAAGACTCTGACCCGATACAAAATCGCTAGCTAACCAGTTCTCGACGCATAAAGGACCACTCTTGAGTCTAAATGCGGAAACCGAAGCCCACAACTAATACAACCAAAAGATTCTGACCACATGTAATTAATACACAACGACCTTTGGAATAGCGGACGGTTACACAAACCACTACGCCATCCGGTCGTCATCGATGGCTTAACTGATGTAGATACAACCGAGACACGTTATTCAAAGCTTAGATTAACAACTGTGGTAAACGAGGCACCCGCGGGGAAATCCCGGCCATTATTCAGTTTTCAATGTATTGTTATGTGTGCAACTTTTTACGTAATATATTCTTTACTCCTGTCGAGCAAGGATGACTGGAAAGAATGCCTACGGCATTCAGTCCTCCTCATGCAACCTATTTGTAGGAAGTGTAGATAAATAAAAGAATATTAGTAAAACATACCTTCGGTAATGGTTTGACCTTGTCTTGTATATGATATCCAGCAATATTTATAGCATTTTGGGGCAATTTCATAGCTCCTCCGATGGATGGATGTGAGTTTATAAACATCAAAGAACAGTTGTATACAGCATCGCTGAATGAAGGTATGGTAACCCCTCTTTATGCTGCAATTTCAGGATATATGGAATTGTATACCCACCATTCGGCAGGTTCTTGGATCAATCTGGAAAGAATTATTAATATTGGTTTCGTTCAAAATAGTAAAATAAAACATTATTTATAATTAAAAATATACACTTGAGGCATTACTTTTGTTACTTTCACTGAGTGAAAGTGAGTGAGTGGGGGTAGACGGTAAAATAAAAATGTCAAAATCGTTATATAGGAATCTATACGAGCGATGTCGTGGGCATAGGCTAGACCTTCATTAGACCGTTCGTGAGTACCGCATCGTATCCAAAAATCCTTAAGAGAAGTCATCGTGACACTAAAGTTGGTTTTTGGCAACTTAAACTCTCCTTCAAACATTTTTTTTTATGGTGTCAGTCCTCCTGACACCCAATTTATAACGAGTGACGCAGCGCAGCCACGTATTGCAGTTATTTCAATATGTATAGCCTAGTTTTCAATTGCTGACAATTTAGCTATCTTGTGTAAATTTAGTAACACTCGCATAAGAGCTTCAGTAAAGCATTGCTTGCATCAAAACGATAATATCAAACAACTAGTAAGTACCTAGTGCTCTTAAAACAAGCTTATATTATTGTAAAAAAAACGAGTCTGTGAAAATGTACAAGTACTTACAAACCTGTGATTTTAATTATTATAATTTTCATATACCCAGTGCCACTCTTACAGTTCAGACGAATTTAACGACACATCCGAAGTTTGCCTTCATCCATTAAGTCGTTTAGATTCCAGTGTTTCAAAGAAACATCCAAACATTCAGTCATATACTCAAAAACAATCCACAGTTAGGTAAAAAGGAGTAGGTTCTCATTCGGCTATTTTCATATGTTTGTTGCCTCTGAACTCTATCATCATCATTTGTGAACTGATTGAAAATTATTTACGGTTTTCTTCCTGTTTGCTCCACTTTAATGTTCAAAAGAGAGAAAAGTAAGGAATGAAGGATACATTCATCATAAATCATCATAATGATGGCACATTGAAATCGATGATATAGCTAACAATTAATTTATTTACTTACTTTAATACGACAAACTTTTTCACGATTCTCCAAAGTTGATCAACTCGTTCCCAAAAACTAAAGGGAGCACTGCGCGGAATGAACAAATCTACGTTGTAAGCAGGATTCGGGATCTCGTCAACTAACCTCAGGGTTTGCCAATGTGGTTCAGTTGAAGCAACCCAGATCATTGGTGCTTCAAACAGATGAGGAATCCTGAGAAAATAACAAAATAATATTGGATTTTGAATATTTAAGCTAAGATTATGGTAAGAATTATTAGATACACTAAGATAAAACCAATCAGATTGCAGAGTACATCTAATTTAAATGAGAAAATAGTCTACGCCTAACAAATGGTATTTCATTTATGGTCTGGAGCAGAGACATGGAACTCGAAATGAAATCCATAAGAATTCCATACTCTTGAGGTCTTCCCAAATCTGTATTCCCAAGTCCTTGTTCCTAAGTCCCTAAGAACCTGGGTTATGCTAGTCTCATGCAATAGATTCACTTGTGACGATTCACAACATATCCTTCACAGTTAGGTGATGTCCCTTAAGATTATAACACGATTAAAAAGTATTCCGCATAGTTGAAATACTTAATTACTTTTACTTTTAATAAATTTGTCCAAACAATTTAGCTTACCACAAGTACATAAAAGTAATAGACAAACTCTTACCCAACATTTAATTCAGAGAAAAACCATTCCATCACAACAGCATCAAATTTCTCCTTTGGATCACTGAGTAATTTGACTACATTAGGTTCTTCAAGAAAACCCTTGTGTAGTGTATATGCAAAATACATTAAAAAAAACGTGTCGCCTAAGTTGCCTTTGCCGATAATATTTTTTAATTTAAGCATCTCACCTGAAATTAAACTTTTCATTAGTATTTTTAAAGCTTTTCATCAGTCGTTCAAAAATGGAAGGACTTACTTTTTTCAGCCTCTTTATTAAAAAAATCTCCTATAGAAGACACGTTGATTTCTGTCAAATTAGGTACTGGTTTTTCTTTTGGAAATGATGTTATGTGTACTACCTGTTATTTATTGAGAAAAAATACACAAATTGAAATATATTATTAATTCTAGTTGTTGCTATTTTGTATATAAGTTCCTATGATACACTGTATAGTCTGAAATCATGATGCTTCATTCTAAAGTGCTGTATGTACATTTATTGTAAATAAATGTTTGCCTAGTTTACATTCAAGTTATACTATAAGAAAACGTGGGCCAAGATTTTAGGCCATCCCCCTTCTAAAAGTTGAGAATTTAATTCAAATAGTAAAGTGAAGATTTTCTATGACCTTACTTAATAGTAAATGTATAACAATTTTTTGTTTGTTTTATCAGGATTATTATATTTATGTGTGTGTGTATATTTATATAATACATATATGTAGTGTTTTTATCATCATCATTAACGAGCAGTCAAATCACCTGATGGCAAGTACTCCTTATTATTACTATTGTGGAGGAACGTGTGTCATGTCCCTCCGACGCAAAGGAAGGATCCTCCGACCAGGCGAGGTGATCATGCCTGGCGGGCTGCGGCCAACGGTTGATGTTGTGAAGTTGTATACATCCTAATCGGCGAATAAATTCTTCATATCGCGATACAGGATTAGCAATTCTCATTTAGGAGTTACTCCGTAATTCGGTGTGTCTTCGTTAGATGGCGATGTAGTATGTTTCGGTTTCTTATATGTGGGAGTCGCCACAGTATTGGCGAGTGAGAGAAATTACCGGATAATTCTTAGAGAGGGGTTGTTAGTTAGGGGTTACGTAAAAAATACTTTCAACTCAAGAGTAAGTTGCCGGCCTGAGTTGCCTCTGAGTACCCCCACCAGAATCCCGAGACCTCCTTCCGTTTCATTCACTTATCTTACAACCTAACCTCGTCTAGATACAGGGTTTGTATTAGTTGACTATATCCTATATGTAACCAACATTTATTATAGTCTTAAAATATGTAATAGGTATAAAAGTTTTATATTTACCTCATGATTAGCTTCCAGCAACCGATCTACAACTCCATGACCCAGTATGCTGTGGCTCTTCGAACTCATAGGGAAACATACTAATATCCGTAGAGCTTCGTTAATTCCTATTATACTACAAAGTAGTAAAGTGGCTGGTATTATGTACCGCATCTAAAATTCAAGGAAAATAGTTACGATTAATATTATATTATAGAATCAACATAGAAACTATAGACATACAGAGAAATGCTAACAAATAAAAGAAAAAATTGACAACAGAATAAGTTGTTGCACAATCAAGCAATAAAAAAAATATAAAAAGAAAACACTTTTAAAAGAAGTTAAATTGAACATTGTATACTTTTAATGCTGGTAAAATTATTAGTTCATATTATAAAGAAAGATATTTTATCTTAGATTTTTTAGCACAGTTCAAATGTCTTTAAATTTCAAGTCTGACAGAATACACAATTAGTATTGCCTGGATAATCTTGACGACTTATCAAAAAATAATAATTATATGTTAAATAATTTTAGTCATGTATTTCCTTACATTATCCTTATGTCAACACCAAGACAATCATCGACTTGTAAAACTAGCGAGTAGCCATGCATATATTAATAAATATGATCTCATTCATATATGAAACAGTCAGGTAAAGTACCTGAACATTACGCATACAATAAACATCGGGTTTATAATAGGTACATAACCTAATCCTACGTATTGTGTTTATTTATCTAGCTATGAATAGTAAGACCCGGCTGTAATGTCTTCTACTGATATGTTTATTCAAAAAATGTATGAAACTTTAGTATTTTAAGAGTTGTCCAGTTATTAAATTATTAGTAATGAAATCGTCATGAAGAAATACATAATCTCACTTGTCTGCTGAGGTGTAAAGATGAACTGTAAGTCAAACACCTCTGGCTTAACAGTCAGGATCACTAGCATCTAGTCCAACAAACCATTAATTATACTTTTTTGTCTAAAACTGGATAACTGTGCAATAGGCTGACAGACGAATTATCTTTGCAAGTCTTGGCTTTAACCTTCACATCTACGATGGTGAATGATTAAAGACATAAAAACACCTGTTTTCTTACAACCTGGCATTACAAAAACTTGTTTTTTTTCTAGTAATCAATTACAATTAAGGCTACTAAAGTGCTTGGAGCAGGAACACCGTAGCATGTCGTCTCATGGTCAATTCTTGCGTAGATATTTAATTGACCATAATTTCAGTAACTACATTTTTTAAATGTATCATTAAGAAGTTCGTAAATAGACATATAATATCGGCAAAAGTAAATAGTTTTTATTGATCTAAAATTAGTAAATAACAAGAAGTAACTAAATCATTTTAGCTTTTCCCTCTAAAAGTTGTGTTGTGAACAAAATATTCTTGTCAAACATAGGCTTATTAGAGTTTTTTAATTTCTGTAGGTAATTCTGTTTCTCTCAAATTTTGAAGAGATTTCAAAATTTATAAAAATATGTGGCTTAAAGAGATACATACAGCTTTGCTGTACTGCAGACTGGAGAGCTCAAAACAACATCCTCGAAATTTTATTCTATTATATGTAGTAATTAGCTTGAAATCACAAATGTTTGAAAGAGATAAAACGCTATTCAACCAAGCTCAAAAATCAACTAAGGGAATGTACCCATAATACGTGACCCATTTTTTTACAATTTTTCCCGTCTCCCTCCCTCGGTGACCACCGCCCTTCTAGTTTTAAAGTAGTACATTCATAAATATGTTTAGGTTTAAAGACATTTATTCTCATATAAAATTTCCATCACTTCCATGAGAACATGGTCATTAAAAACATTAATAGTATTCACCGTCACAAGGATAAAAACAACAAATGGTTAGCAAATTCACAAAGACAACAACATAACAAATAGATAACGGTAATACATACATACGTTATTAAGTACGGGTGCCCATCTAACACACTCACAATCACAACAATACGTCGCCCTAGTGCTTATTTGTCCTATTGACCAATTTATAAATTAGCTTTAAATGCAGTATTGTTAAGATTTAAATTACACACCTGTTGGTTAAGGAAGTTTTAAAACCTTTTGTTTTTAAAACAACAAAAACTGTTTTTTTGATTGTGACACGATCGACGACGACGATACTGTAATGGAAATTTTGTGCTTTTTTGTTTTATGTCCAGTTTTTGTTCTATGAATATGAAATGAATTTGATATCGAGTGCTTGAGTTTTCTATTTCCACTCAATAGACCAACCCCAGCCCACAAAAGTGGCTGGGATTGGTATGGTCTTCGTCCTTTAAAATGCACCCAATGGTAGATAGGACCAACAAGCACGACGAATAGTTACACCTATTATAGTAGATACTCACCATGCTGACACATTATATAATATTATAAAAAAGATTAGTTTTCAATTATAAACTGAGCAAGCTTCCTTTTAAAGGTGTTGAAGAGTGTTGAAGGAGTTGACATTTTTTAATAGTTGTGGGTATTTCGTTGTAAAAGCGTACTCCTTCATACGTAATCATCGTTTTACCGTAGTTCGTGCGAATTCTTTGCAGAGCGAGATAGCTGCGCGGCGCTTGCGAATCCCGGGGTTAGCAATCTTTTTCAGTTTGTTAAATTCTAAGTTGGTATGAATATTTTTGTTAATTGCTTTGCGTAAAAAAATGAAACTGTTGTAGGTGTTTAGTTGTTTGATCGTTATTAAATTTGTTTCATTGTAAATTTTGATACTTTTTGTGCTATAATGATAATTGAATAAAGTTTTAATGATTTTTATTTCAATGATTTGTAGTTCAACTATTCCAGTTTTGGCTGCACTGCCCCAGATTTCAATTAGGTAAATTAGTGTGAATTACAAATTGTATACCGTAGTTTACGTGGTATACATCGAACAATATGACGAAGGGAGCCACAGAGTTTTACTCATTTCGTTTTAATGAAATCAATAACGGTCTTTTATGTTAAGTAATTGTTAATTATTTTTTGCAACCAGAAAGTAAAACAAGTCTTTGTTAATACAGCGCTTGCCATATATGTCATTGAATACGTGATAAAACCCTAGGCCCTCCCTCACACCTATGTAATCAAACGTGGTATTTTGAAGATCCTCTCCCTCCCTATTGGGATTAATAGGGTAACATTTTTGAATATTTGTTTAAGTCACTTCAACAGCCTTTAATAGTCCACTGTTGGACATATGCGTTAGAAAGAAGGTTTTGGCCTACTGTACCACGCTGCCTACACTGGTTGGTATAGGGTTTGTTTCAACTTTTCCTTCTCTTTGGAGTACTGTGGTTCTGCGTAGTTTTTTCCCTTACTCTTCTCTTACCACACCCACGGGATGAATAGGGGTGCTGACACTCCGTATTCTTAATCCGTCACCAAAGGTATAAGGTTTAAGTCACAATGTCTGTATAAACTGTCTTTTTAAAGTTGATATAGTACTCAATTAAGTTTTATACTGACTTTACTGACTTTAATAAGAAAAGTCGTGTTTAAAAATAATAATAAGATACTTCTTGACTATTAATAAGAGTAAACAGGTAAAATTGAACTCATGAAGACTTTGATTTCATTTGTTGTTTGATAAATTGCTTCATGATAAACTGATAACGACGCCTAAACACAGTCACTATCAATAATGTGACATACCTAACATTTTATAAATCCAATAAAAACTATATCCAACTATAACTTTATGAGAAAAAAGAGTTGTATCTGAACATGAACCTTAAACAGCTTTTTACCATTAAAAAAGTTTTTTGTCACTTTTGCAAATTGGTTCTTGTATTTATATTTTTTTGTATGTTATATGTAAAGACGAATCTGTCGACTTTTCGAAATATTTGATATTTTATTGTGAGTAAGACTAAACTATTACTAGAATTACTTAGAAGATGCATTTTAACATAAGCTTTTATAGGTCTACTAACAGACTACAAAATTTTCAACCGAATTTATAAACACAAATACAAAATTTAATATTATTATTATCAAAACTGTTTTATAACCGTTATTTGATAAAATATTGTCAAAAACATTGTTATATTTATGACACTACTAAAATACTCACTATGATGCTCCGTTCTCCTATCACAGAAACAAAATTGTTCTTTAACACTCACGATACTAATATATACAGCACCACTTGACGCTCATTAACGCCCATCAGCGTTGACGGTCACTACAGAAGTGTCTTATGGCGAAGTTTATTTTAAACGATCGTGCATTTTCAATTGTAATATTGGACGATACAACGTAAGAACTAAAAACAAGTCAATAATAATAATAGCTTATGTTCATTATGTTGGGAATTATCTGTGTTTACATAAGGTAGTTTTATCTCAGAAATCATACTTTAAGAGGGTGAAAGAGGGGGGTGGAACTTTGTATGGGGAATCAAGAACCGCTGAAGCGAATTAGATGAAATACGATACGGAGATACATCGATTCTTTAAGAAAGACAAATGCTACCTTTTACCGCGATAATCGACATTTACGCGGGCGGAGCCGCGGACAAAAGCTAGTATTTTATAAATGTTAAAGTGAGTTTGTTTGCTGGTAACTACTTGTAACCACACTTAAACCACTAAACCGATTTTAAAAATGCTTTCACTAATGGAAAGCTATATTTTACACGCGGGCGGACCCACGGACAAAACTTGCTTTTTAAGCAGAGGCCTATGTCCAGCGGTGGACTATTAAAGGCTGTTGATGAATATAATATATATTTGTACATGTAATAGTAAATATTCATAGCCGAAAGGATAATGGCAAGTCGCCATACATAATTTTATTTGAACTAAAAAGGTAGCTTTTAAATATAAAAAATGCCTAAAACACTTAAGAATTTATTCTTGACCATTCTCATAACAAAATTACTAGCGAAAGAAGTCTAGGAAAAAATTGGATTTTGAATGTTTCGAGGTTAAGTATTAACATGTTGTCAATGTTTTGTTTGAAACTAGATGGCGTTGTGTGTCATATATCCGAAAATATTGTTATCATTATTCTTACTCATAAACAACCCTATTTTGCTGTAAAAAGTATTTGCTTGGCAAAAAAAATGTATTGGTAAAACAATAGAAAATTTACTAACATTATTTATTATTTTACTAACATTATAAAATAGAAAAACATCAATGCGAGTTTAACACGAAATTGAACAAAAGTAAAACAACCAAACAAACTACAACTGCCCTGTGAGCAATGGTCGTGTAAGTCATGCGTGTGAGTGTCAAACGACAAGACCGGTAAGTGCAGAACTCGACAGGATCCAAACGACGACAAATCGACATTTTGAAAATATCGATGTATGTCTATTTATGTGCCGTTATCAAGGACAATGTCTATTTCTCATCACACTGTGCAGTATATTGTTTTTTTTTCGTCGGAAAATAACATAACTATATTATATTTATTGAGTGTAGCAAAAATCGTTGAAAAATAGTCAATAACATTCTAAATTATTTCTAATTATGTTGATTTAGTCACTCTACCGTACGAGTGATCCCGTGGACAGAAGCAAATTAATTATCATAAAAGGTGAAACTTTGGTAGATATTTCAGGTAAAGCTATAAAAATCGATTTTCGATAAAACGTTCCATAATATAATAATGCTATCATGCATCCCTAGTAAGACATAATGGCGAATCTGAGTCAAATAAAATCTTTAAAAATATCCTATCCCTTATAGGACTTATATAACACATGATGAAATAATGAAAAATCATAGAGAAAATATTTATTAAGTTTACTGTGAGTCTATTATTTAAACGCTTAAGTTTTAGTTAAATATGTTTCTGGTTCGAAAATTGTGACCAATACATAAATGTGACCGAAGTGATTGCACCCACACGCGCAGCCGCTAAAATTTGCTTCTTGTAAATTTAAAGGCGCAGCAAAATTTATGTTCAAATGATAATGACTTCACACATCTCACACACGGCCGATTGTACTCGTACTATGGTAATCAGACTGCTGATAAACAAATTTATAAATTTCTAAATACATACACAATTATTCGAACTCGGAATCGAACCCACGACCTCCGGCTTAGCACTCAGGGTCACAGACCACTATACCAACAGGAGAGTTAACTTAAATTAATTGTTTTAGAAATTGTTATAAATAGATTTAGTTTTGCAGGTGTGTCAATATGTTCGTAAATAAAAGAAAAACAGACTAGAATAAAACTTTCATGGATTCAGTATTGAATATCGTTATCCATTATTCATATAATATAAAAGAACAGAGAGTTTTCAATCTCGCTAGACAGATTATGGTTTAACGGTATTTACAATTTATACAACGGCATATTAAAGTAGGTATTAATCTGAAGATAGAAGAAGCCTTGAACGAATGGCGATTGGGTGCTAGTTCTTATTTTGTGGGGAAGAACGTTCCAGATTGAATGAGAAAGAAAGAACTTATGATAACTTACTAGAAGGGCATAACAGAAGAAGATTATTTGTATGTAATGATTGGATCATAGGAATTGGGAGGAGGATAGAGTCAGCTATGTAGGTGAGTTAAGAATAGTGTAAGGAAGAGTGGTTAGGGCACGCAGATAAAGCTGACGCATTGGGAGCCAATTAGGAAATACGGTGAAATATGCGAAGATTAAAATAAATCAAATAAAGTTCAGAAGTCGGTCGTATTTGCGGTCGGTTTATCTGCATTCAGGTAAAAGCACACATCACCATAATTAGTTATAGGGATAATTAAGGTTTGTACCAACAGCGCATTTATTTATTTCAAAACTTCATGTACTTTTGTACATCGACGGACTTAATGCCCAAGGCATTCTGCCAGTCAACCTTTGGGTGGTGTAGAAATCATATAAGGTAGGTGCATAGAGGTTCAGTACATAATTAAACGCACACAAAGACATATATACACATACGACACAAAACATTTTATATATTTATAAAACATATTATTTTCGTACATTCGTACTATGGACTGGGTAGTTCTGCCATTTTACTAAGGGTGATGATGAATCATCATCATAATTTTGAATACAAAACGGTTAGTGGACATCCTGATTTCGAGCGGGAGCACATTCCAGATTAGTACTGCTTGAACAAAGAACTTACTAGACATAAGAGAAGCAGGTTATTTTCTAAGTGAAGATTTCTGTCGTGATTAGAGGACAGGTAACGGAGGTAGGGAGCGAGGTAAGTAGGTGAGGTGGGTGAGTTTAAAAGTGTGAATAGAGAGGTAAGTGCACGCTGATTGCGGCGCAGACAATTAATTTAAGATTGAAAATGTACCGAATGCAGTTATTGAGAAGACGGTCCAGCTCATTAAGTAGGTCTGCATTCAGGTCGAAATAACATACATAACCATAGTCAATTATTGGAATTATTAAGGACTGCATGAGTTTGGTTTTAGTTTTATGATAATTCCAGGTTTCCAGTTTATTTCCTTGCCAATCGATTGATATCATTGAAACATATTTTATAACTAATAACGGGATGTTGCTGTTTACTACTTTCTAGAGTACCAAGAAATTTCTAGATTCTAGACGAGGAAGAAGAATTTTTTGAAGAATATGTCAGCGTGTGGCCTTGCGTATCACCTGGTTCTTTGTAGCGATCTTTTTTTAAAACGAAGAAAGGACTGCTTCCTTTGTCTCATAGCTGTTTGGACCTCCTCCGTCATTCAATGAGCCGGGCACGTTTTATCTTTACTCTCCTAATTGGAGCGTGGACGTCGTACGGTTTGACAATGGTGTCATTATAAAGCCGGATTTTGTTGTCCACGTCGGTAGCGGCTGTCACATCCGCCCAATCTATCTTAACAGCATCTGCATGTAGTTTCTCGTCATCCATGCGAACTGTAAATCTGTAGAATTTTAGGAAGTGGTTTAGGTAGGGTTATCTCAGACAGTTTCTGGAATTTTCTGGCTGATGCTAGTAACCTGAGTTTGCCACCAGCCATGGTTGCCACGTATAAAAAGGCCTATAAAAGTTAAGTAATATTTTCGATGCTTGTCAGTAGGGATGGCATAAAATCAAAATCTTATGTGATAAATCATATGATTTATAAACATATCTTCACACTTGACTGATTTACAATTTTTTTTTAATTATTGTTATTACGCTAACGCAAGGCACGAGACACAAGAGACCTTTCGGGTCTCTAAAAAAGGTCGTAATCTTCGATAAAAATAATTTTAATGCTGCATGTGAAATCACTGTGGCTATAACCAATAATTTCATCAAATGAATAGGATTTAAAAGTCGCAATAATTTCCATATCTACTTGTCAGCAAGTCAATGAGGTTACCGGAGGCCCAATCCTCCTCCCTTCCCCTCTAATTCTAGGGATGGGGGGTTATGGGGTAATAACTCACTTGTATCGCTTGAGATGCAGATGTCATTCAGCGGTGATAACATTCCATTAGGGTGACCCATCTACTCGTTTTCCCCCTTTATATCATAAAAAATGGCAGACATTTAATCATATACATATAATTAGTGCACGTGACTTTTAGATAATTTTATTTGACATCTTTTATTTTACTGATAAAATTTGTTTATTTATTCCTCTCTTTGTATCTGGTGTGTATCTTTTATTTTCTTCTATAAATGAATCCTTACGCCATTTTTAATGTAGGTAGTGATAACATAACACAATTTTGCATGACTGTGAAAAATTATGGTAATCTTAGTGATGTTTTATGTAATTACTGATAGAGCAGCTATCTATACAAATAAATAAGTTAGGTGTCTGTTTGTAATGTCAATATAATAGGTTCTTTTGCATGCTCGCTTATTTATGACTAAAAATCACTTTAGTTTTTGTATGTTTGTTTGTTCGGGTAATCTCCAAAAGGGCTGGACCGATTTTGATAATATTTTAATACTACCAGGTAGCTGTCTACATAAGGAGTAACTTAGGCAATTTTTCCTCTCAGAAAAAACACTATAAAATATTGCCCGCTCCGGGAATCTGGAGTTTAGCGTTGCGATTGGTGGAAATTTCAGTGCGGGCCAATCGTAGCGCCGAACGCTGTCACCGTGACGATCGAGTAGAAGTAAAATAAACTCGCACTTGGCCCTCTGTATGCGTTGAAGAACAATGTTAAACAAAATTTTTATTAATTCATAAAATATTTTTTTTTTTGTGCGAGAGAAAAATTTTATATGAACTTTTACATATTATTATGTTTATGAAAAAAAAATATATTTTTTTTAATTCAATCATGTTTATTTGCACGGAGAGCCAATATGTAATCTGAAAGCGCTCGCAACGTAGCAGGAGTTAGAACCGCACAGTATCAAAACCGTAATAGTATCTCAACGACTTTGAATAACGAAAAAAAATATTATGTATTTACGGAATTAAACATTTATTTCAATTGGGACCATAACAGTTACTTGCTGTCATTTTTAGTTAGTTTTAATTAGTTGCCGTAAAAGAGCTTACAAGCTATTTTTATTTTTATCACGATCGACTAGTGAATCCTGGTGTCAGGGTCACTGTGATAGATGTGCCACTATACCAGTAACAATATCTAGATCTGAAAAAAAACATTTATTAAAAAAAAAACAGCATAAGAATAACTTATACGTTTAAGTATTCTTGTTTGTATTTTTATATTTTTTTTCACAAAAAACGTTAGATAGAGAAAGGAATACCGATTGCTAAACCTATTGTAATGTACTGATTGCAAATACTATTTTTAATCGCCCAATTTTATGGTAGTAAGTAAACAAAAAATATAATTATGAAAAATAAATAAAATAATATTTTTTCCTACTTAATGACCTCTTCGTTATACGTACAATTAATTCTTCTCTGGAATGCCTTCTTTTTTAAATTTGGAATGGAATCACTTTTTATAGTTCAAACCTTTTCTATTTTTGAATAAGATGGAAGCCTAGTGAAGATGTATGTCAATATAAAAATAAGATCTAGTAATTAGATTACTAACTTATAAATGGATTGCACATCATCATCATCATCAACACCCTTTAATAGTCCACTGCTGGACATAGGCCCCTCCTTAGAAAGGAGGTTTTAGCCTACCACGCTGGCCACACGGATCGGTATAGGTTTTGATTCAAGGTCTTTGCATTGTCCATATAAATTTGTATTAGACGATCACATAAAAGGCATTACATTTCTTTGAAAACAATCTAATCAAGACTTCAAACAATTCAAAGGTGTGTTATATGTATTATGTCAAAGTGCAATTTTATTGTACCTCAAACTACTCGAACAAATGGCTTGAGATACTAGACAATTGAAAGTCATTGACATTGACAACACACGGAGCCCACTTTAATACTCGCTATCGATATAAATGGACGTGTATATAACAAATAATATTTATAAATAACTTTATAAATAAATTAAGATTACCAAAAATGAAATCACTGCTATGTACAATTTTACTAAGTTTGTTATGCTATACAGAGTCATACAAAATTTTAGTGTACACCACTAAAATTTTGTATGACTCTGTATAGCCTTTTCCTATTAAAAGTTTAAACATTTTGGGGCAAGGAATCGTGAAGAATCTTCTCAATGATGGCCATGAGGTAACTTGAATATTACTAATACAGAGACTTGCACTTTCTTGGAAACAAAAACGTTTATTATTCCTCTATTCGTAAATTGAATGTTCAAAGACCACTAATGTTCGCAAGTACGGAAGTAAATGCCAAATCATATGAAAGTGCTATTCAAATACGTATCGATATCAACAGAATACCGTTTACGCGATCATCGTTTACAGTGCTGTTAATAATTGGGTAATTAGCGTAGCTTGCTCCCTCAGTCGGCTCTTACTAGAATAAATATTAAAAACTAAAACGCGATAAGTAGGCATGTAATAAGCACTACCGGACTTTTGAAGTAATTATTATCAGTATCTAGTTGAGAGCCAATAATTCTTAGAGTACGGGAACAACAGAGATTAATCGATTGTATCGAAGTTATGTATGTATACTAGAATTACGAAAAGTTCAATAGATACCTTCGAATTTCAGTCAGGTTACACTGGCCCTGATCACAGGTCACGTCAATTTTCATAGATAGAAAAATCATACAATAGAACGCACAATTTCAGAAGTTAGTATAAGAATTGAAGTACTCCAAAAATACATGTAATATTTTGTAGGTGACCAAACTTATCGTATAGGTAATATCTTAAAACAAAAATTAGAGATTGATCCTAAGGAAAACCAAATACTGAGCCGAGAACTTGCGAGATTAACATTACAGAATGAGAATGTAATTAGACTCCTGGAAAATACTAATGAGCATTTTGACGCTGTTATAGTGGACCTTATGGAGTCCGAAGTATATGCTGGGTAAGTTGATTCATTGTTTCTTTTCCTACCGTAACTCTCGTGTGTTTTTGTTCCTACAAAGACTGTGGCGCAGGTCTAAAGGTACAAAATGTGAATTCCTTAATTTTCATAAAATATTTATCTAGTGAAATATTATGTTGTATATACATTATATTATGTTTTATTTAACTAATTTCAAAAGAAGGGATTCTAATTCGGCTGTATCTTTTATTTTCTGTTTTTGTGTTTGTGACCTCAGAAGTCAAAATTTGATCTGATTTTTTTTATTTTATTTGGATTTAGAAAATATATTTTTGTATTCGAAAGCATATTATTATAAGTATTTCCTATTTGCCCCTTTTAATTTAAAAAAAAAACACCTATTAGGTTAAAAATTAAGGAATGAAGAATACTTAAGCTTAATACTTACTACAATTTATCGATGTTAGCGTATTGAAGTCGGGTATTTTTTAAATTAATTAGGAATCAAATAGTTTTTTTTTTTTTTTAGTCTATTAATTTTGTGTAATTGCCTGATGCTTTGGGCATTTTCGATTGGTGCTCACTAGGAAGTAGTGCGATTGATTGCTGATACTGTAAGCCCAGCATATGACATCGACTATTATGCAATTGATATTTCACCCTTGACCTTCACACAGAGAATTAAAGGACTCCTCTCCAGAGCAGAGTGGAGCTTTTATAAGAGGTGAGAAGAATGACAACTGTGGAACTTCTTGTTTGCTACATTTACCACTATATAAAATTATCAAAATCTACGACGATGACTTGAATTCTTCAGATAAACAACTGTCGTAATCAGACGCGAAGCTATCCTGCACATGAACTTCGGTTTTCATTAGCGTTCCTGTACCACCTGTAACGTTCCTGTAACCACCAAGAGTGGCCTAATGGCCACTGTTGGTGGTTTAACCTTTATGAGTATTGCCATTGGGCAATACTCATGAGTTTCCATATAGACATACATTTACATACTCATTTGTTTCCAGTTTTCCTTCTCTTTTTAGTGTTGTTGTCTTGCATAATTTGCTCCCTTGGTAGACTCTTACGACACCCATGGGATGAATACGGGTGGTAACATGCCGTATTCTTAATCCGTCACCACACGGACATAAGTATTATAGCATTTGGTAAAAAATATTTGATAAATGATAATAAATGAAGATATAATCATACGAGTATATACAGCACTGTTGAGCTAAAATACAACAATATTTTTTCATACATTGTAATTCTTTAAGAATAAAAAGTTATGGGCATAACTTTCAAATTTCAAACAGAACACATCTTTAAAATTCATTTTAGCTTCTATACTATGCCTGTAGAACGAGAAATCTATGAACAGACTTTTGGTCCACTTCTTGCCAAAAGGGGAAGGAAATTGCTAGATTACGAAGATGTCATCTACAACGCGTCTCTGATATTTGGAAATGAACACAATGCAGTCCTGTCTAGACCTAGTACAGCGCAGAACTTTAAATACATCGGCGGTATACATATTGATGATCCTGTAAAACCTTTACCCAAGGTATCTTGTGCAAATCCTATATCTTGTCTCATTTTGCATCGCTTAAATTTGTCAATTGTCCTCTTTTTTCAGAATCTGCAAAACTTGATGGATAATGCACAAAATAGAGTCTTATATTTTAGCATGGGTTGCTTCTGGAAATCTAAAGACTTGCCAGTAAATATGATTAGAGAACTTCTGGTAATGTTTGGTGAACTAAAAGAAACTGTTTTATGGAAGTTTGAAGCTAACTTAAAAGATTTACCAAAGAATGTTTATATCGTGCAATGGGCACCGCAGCAAAGTATTTTAGGTACAATCCAAATTTAAAATCCAATAGCTTAAATTATAATAACTTATTATATCTTAAAATGCCTAAATTATAATCTGGTTTAAAATTATATTATCGGAAATTATTATACAATAAAGATAGTTTTTGGTTATTTTCACAGCGTACAGTAATTACTATTATATAACAAGATTGCTGTCAAATACTTACATATATAAATAATATATTTCTTTTCAGCTCATCCAAACTGCAAATTGGTTATATCTCACGGAGGTCTTCTGTCCTCGATCGAAACTATACATTTCGGAGTTCCGATCATCGGAGTTCCCCTTCTGTTTGATCAAACAATTAATGTTAACAAAGCTGTTGCCAGTGGATATGCTATCAAAGTTGAATTTACCTACGATCTACCTACACACTTGAAAACAGCTATAAATAATATAATAAGTAATGAAGCGTAAGTATAATATACCTCGAGCTTATATCTGAAAAAAACAGGCATCGAGGGAGATTTTACCAGTAGTGAAACACCACCACTGGTTAAAGACGGGTCTTCTGGCGTAGTGGTTGATCCTGACTGTTAAGCCATAGGTCGTAGACTTGTGAGGACGATTCAAACCCAGGGCAAATTATTGTGTGATGAGCACGATGAGTTCTATGTCTGGGTGTAATTAATGTATAATGAGTATATTTTTAGAAATATATAAAAATATTAATCAATAGTGGTTATCTGTGGAACGGGTTATCGTCTGCGGAAACGACGGACGGACCGATACGACCTTCAAGCCTTAAAGAAAAGAGCGTATTCCTATCTAAAAGGCCGGCAACGCGTTTGTGACTGCTGAATTGCAGACGTTCATGGCCGGTGATGGTCACTTTCCTTATGGAAAGTGAAAAGAGAGCAGACGAGCAGACGGGTAACCTGATGGTCACACGTCTGCTCGTCTGCCCCCTCTAACATAAAAAAAGAAAAAAAAAGTGGTGCCCATAGTACAGGCTCTGCCTACTTTGGGATCAGACGGCCGTGTGTGAGATGGACGATATTATGTATTAAGAAATCCATAACCGACTTTTTCTGTAGTAAACACATAATCACAACTATCACTTGACACACGGTCATCCTTTTTTTACTTTGAAGTCAAATTAGCAGATAGGTCTGCAGACCTTTTAGACTGTCTGAGAGAAGTCTGAGACTTCAAGTACAAGGATTGGGTCTTAGGTAACATCAATCACTTGGGGAAAAGCGACGAAAAGATTTCTTAACAGCGACTATCTGTAAGGCCGCTGTACCCCGGAGGGGGTTTCCACACGTACAAAAAAAAAACACTGATCAAGCTGTACCATTATCCCAATATTAACAAAATATTAACAAAACATTTTTAGCTTCAAAATATTTATATTTTTAGATACCAAAGAAGAGTCAAAGAGATGTCATTTATATACCACAATCGTCCAATGAAGCCAGGTGATGTACTCAACTTTTGGGTACGCCATGTAGTGGAAACGCGAGGCGCTTGGCATCTGCGGTCTCCTGCACTTAACGTTCCACTGTACCAACGACTTTATTTAGACCTGGTGCCTTAATAACATCAATCATTTGTATTGTATATTGTCTCTTCAAAAAGATATCATATAAAGTCAAAAAGAGTTATGTAAAAGACAAAATAAATTAACCAACCCTTCTCGTTAATAAGTTTTATACTCGTATATGACACCCAGATCAAATGATTTATATAACAGTTCCTGTAAAATGTATAAGTTTACACAAATATACCAAATACAAATATTTAGTTTTGTTTTAAAACCACCTGAAAATTATTAATACACACATAAACCAGTAACTATAATATGAGAACAAATTAAAACTATAAAGTATCAAATCACATACATATTACAAGTTACTGGTCTAAACTGGGCTAAAATCGAATATTCTTTATATTTTTTTCTTAAAACGCAAACCTTCTTTGATAATTATAATCATTATTTAGCTTTAAATCTTTAAACCTTTCTAACTAATCTTTTGCACGTGTAGTCATATTTAGTATTGGATTTAATACATGAAAATTAGTCAACTTTAATTCATCAAATCTTCATCACCACATTTTGTTTATATATTTTGGGCTATTGGTAAGTCATCCCGGCAAGACAAATAATTGTGTAATGAACACCATCATTAGTTATGTATTCCGGTGTTATATTTCTATAATATGTATGAAGGTATATTTTTAGAAATACAAAAGTATGTTCATCAGCAATTGGTTTAACACAGTTGGCTCTGCATAGTTTGGAATCAGACGGCTGCCTATTTTTTTAAACATTTAGACCCATAATACGTTAACAATATCAATTTTTACATAGTTTCCGACCTCAACAAGAAGATGGCAATACTCGTGAATAAAAGCTAGTGAATTTCGTCGTTCATCTGTTGACAGTTTCAGCCATTTTTGACGCGCAGTTGTTATGTAACAGTCGTTTGAGTGAGTTGATGTGTGTTTGTTATTAAATATTTGTTTTTACGCAAATCAAAGATGAGCTGGATTCTGTCTATGGGGACTCTACACCATCATTTACCACAGTGAATTTTGGACAGCTGAATTTAAACGTGGGAGACGATGAATGTCCAAAAACCGACGACCGCCGAATTAAAGTGAGAGAGATAGCAGAGGTTACGAACATGTCAAAAGAACGTGTTTGTCACATATTAAATCAACATTTAGACATGAGAAAGCTGTCCGCTTGTTGGGTGCCGCATTTCGTGAAAACGTGTTCGAATGAACATTTCATACGCTCTGTTGGCGCAGTTTAGGCGCAATAAATCCGAGTTTTGGCGCCGATTAATTACTGTAGATGAAACTTGGACACTCCATTATAATCCCGAAACCAAAATACAGTCCAAACAGTGGACTGGGAACCGGGTCCAAAAAAGGCACAAACAGTTTTTTCGGCTGGGAAAGTGGTATTGACTGTTTTTTGGGATAGTCATGGAGAAGTTTTAATCGATTATCTCCAAAAAGTAAAAACCATTACAGTCCACATTTGCAGAAAAAGAAATCATGTTTCACCAAGACAATACATCCTCTCACACCTCAGCGGTTGCCATATTGAAAATCGATAACGGTTTAAAAACGATAATGATAATGAAAATAACGGTTTAAAAACTGAAAGAAGGTCTTGTATCTTTGTCAGGTCGGAAACTTTTCAGACCACCCTCGTACCTATTCTCAATAAACTAAACTGTCTGTTTATCCATCCACTACTATTGGATGAATAAATAGATAAAGATTTAAACGTAAGTACTAGTTACGTTTAAATCTTTATCTATTTATTCATCCAATAGTAGTGATAACAAAATTAAATTTTATTATACACAAACAATTTGTTTCCACATTATGAATAGACAAATGTGGAAACAAATTGTTATAACACAGCGCCTAGTATAATGATAACATAATTAAACATTAAACTGCGAAATGCTTCTTACGTATAACCTCATTTCATCGTCTGCAGATGATTAATGATATCTATGTTATAATCATCATCTAAGATAAAGAATCATCATCATTTCAATTGCCCACAGCTGGACATAGACATCCCCTAATTCTGGTTGAAGTGACCTGCATCGATTTGTCATTTTTAGAAGGTTTGTTAAAAGATATCGTACCCAAAGAAACTTGTAATTGATTAGTCCTTACTGAAACATCTAATGCAGGAGGGTCAGACCGGCTGTTGACATTGCGTCACGACTGCATGCGTCCTTACACTTTTACGTACTTAGTACGTAATAATTTCGATGTTTTCCATCTGCCACATTTCTCGCGACGTGCATTTTTTTTCATGTCATGATTGAACTTGTGTGTTTTTAAAACATTAGGAAAATAATAAGAGTAAAAGCCAAAATACGTTTGACCACTTATCACGCGAAACTACTGTAAGATTTTGGATATACTTTTCACCGTTGTATTGCTGTACTCATAAGTCCAACTTAAATAAAAAAATTGATGTGCCGCCTCATCACCTAGAACTGAAGTTATAAAAAAAACATTTGTACTGAACCGTTTGGAATACATTAAAAACAAGAAACTGAAAACAAAACAAATACATGTTTTTTTGAAAATGTGGTCTGCTTTTTCTTTACTACGTAATGGTCTTAGCCACCTTCTATATTTGTGTTTCACTGACAGAAGTGTGTGTCAAAACTTAAATCCAATAGCTCTGTATCGACACAAATTCACAAAAAAGTTCACAAGTTCTGTATAGAATCGTTCTGTAGTAGGTGCATTAAGTCGCTCAATATATAGCAGTTTTCAACACCACAGCTATCAATAACCGCACTACCAAACTAAGGCAATCCGTGAAAACCACTGGGTTTATAATACACTAAAACAGACCTAAGGTTTCACGTCTAAGATGAGTAAAAAGAAACAATTAAAAGTCGAAAATCGAATGTTGCACATGTTTTATAAGAAGAAACTCATAGGTGTCATGTAAAAGAAGTTGCAACTTGTGTATTGTTGGTCATTGAGTGCCTCGCTCTCGTAGAATTAGATAGGGGGAGGTTGGGTAAATACTTAAAACTTAAAAAAAAATCTTATAACAAAACATCCCTTACATCACTCCTTTTTACACCATACCTACTATAATTTCATTTATTTTATAGCTTATCTTTGTAAATCTAAAGGTTACTTATATATATTTCTTTTTTAAGCAATGGGGCCAGATTTGTTAACCAGATTTATTCCTTATAGAAATCTATTTATGTCCAATAAAGTTTACTTCTATTCCATTTTGTACACAAAAACCCAGAAATATTTCTCAAATATTTCTCAAGATGCTGACCGCACACCGGATAGTAATGGACAGTGCAACCCTTCCACTATTCTTTGCGTTTGTTGATATCAATGGCGAGTATATCACCCACCTTCCTTACTTTAGGGTAGTCATGGAAGACCTTAGCACAATGCTATTAGTCTTAGTATGGTCTCGAAACGTCCGAAATGTCCGTGTGGTGACGGATTAAGAATACGGAGTGTCGCCACCCCTATTCATCCCGTGGGTGTCGTAAGAGGCGACTAAGGGAGCAAACTACGCAGGACAACAGCACTGCAAAGAGAAGGAAAACTTGACACAAACCCTATACCAACCCGTCTGGCCAGCGTGGCATAGTAGGCCAAAACCTCCTTTCTAAGGAGAGGCCTATGTCCAACAGTGGACTATTAAAGGCTGTTGATGATGATGATGATGGTCTCGAAACGAGGGAGGTTTCGAATGAACATGGAGAAGACATAAATTATGTTGAACGACCATGTCGCGCCCACTCCAGTAAACATTGGAAACTCTACGCTCGAAGTTGTTGACGACTTCGTGTACCTTGGAAAAACTATGCACTTAGGTAGGTCCAACTTCGAAGGGGACGCGGCAAAGTTCATTTTCGTTTTACATTTCTAGTAGAAATTATGACCGATGGGCCAAAAATGGTGTCGGTGGGTCTCCCACAAGGTGGTGCGACGACCTAAAGAACCTAAAGACCGGTTGTTGCGGCAAAACTTGTGAGAGGCATATGTCCATGTTCCAGAATCTATGGTTTTCTATTACTTTTGCTTTCATCACATCATCACATCAGATCAACAGCCTTTAATAGTCCACTGCTGGATATAGGCTTCTCCTTAGAAAGGAGGTTTTGGCCTACTTTTTTGATGTGCAATTTTTTTGATGCTTATAACTAACTTTTGCTTTAAAAGTACATAAAACAAAAGATACAGTGATAAAAGATTTTCTACTTCTACTTTTGTACAAAATGTTTACGATCCCTGGCAAAACATAATCGCAGACGCGGAGATATAAATTCTTTTATCAGTCGGCTTAAGAGCTCACTCTATAAATACACGCGCAGGAACAATATTAATATACACATGTGCTTAAATATTCTTTAAATATGAAGGTGTACATTTTAGTGTTATTACTAAGCTTGTTCGGGTTCATTAGTTCGTATAAAATTTTAGTCATCTATCCATTGCCGGTTAAGAGTTTAAGTATTTTGGGACATTCAGTTGTAAAACATCTTGTCAATGATGGGCATGAGGTAAAGTATTCAATCATTATCATTATTTCTGAATTTGTTTATAGATATTAACTAAAATATCTATATAAATAAAAATGTTAAGTACGTTTGTATACGAAAAACTCAAACTCAAAAAGTTTTGCACCGATTGAGCTCAAAAGACAAGATACATATGTATATCATGTCTTTTGACCATCCATCTACTGCTTCCCACCCGGAGATAATAGGACTCACCTAATTATTTTTTAGCCAATAGTACATTATCCACAGTCTTTCTTTTTAATAAAACCGTTTAATTACATAATTGGGTTGATAGTTAATTAAATTGTCCAAATTTCCTAATCAAATGTTTATATGTGGATAGATGCAACTGTTACTATTTGCACGTGTTTGACGATATAACATAAGAATACATGTTAAGATTACATATAAGAGAACATAAAATACAAAATGCTTATTCATGATTTCTTATCTGTATCTTTGTCGTTAAAATAGGCACATAGTACTCGTAATAAGTGACATGGAAAATTTATAAATTACATCTGACCTTTTTTATCGCTATGATATAACTGTTTAGATTTATTGACATAAAGTTGTGAAGCTTATTACAACAGTTTTAAAAAATCTATTAATCTATTTAAGTTAGAAAGTTCTCTAATTCGTAAAATTGAATACTGAAATTTTCATTTCAAATCCTCAAAGTCCCATTTTAAAACGAAGTTTACTTGAAAAGTGGCTGAGTAAGCGAGTATTGGAGGTAAAGCACAACAGAACATTATCTCATACTGGACCAATAACACTGAAACGCCCCACCCCCCCGCCCCTCCCCACTGTACATAAAATCTTACAGTTACAAAATCCTGGTGTGTCCAGAGCTTTCAGAGGATGGGTGTGCTGATAACGTAAGAGATTTACAAATTTAGCTCGTGTCGACGTAGAAGGTTTTTGTAGTGTGTCTCTGTAAGTAATAGAAGAGCTGGCTCCTTCTATTCCTTACATTATTCATCACGGATACACACTCGAACCTACTTTCTAGAAACGCGGCGGTGTATGCTTGTACGGCCGGGTATTGTCGTCTCCTTCACACCTACGAAAACAAACTGTATGCCCACCTGTATCCACGTGTGCCTGTTCAGGATTTACAGTGATCACCATACCATTTTTGTCAATGAAATATGTCCTTTTCGAATGCTAAATTTCATGAGAAAGTTGTTGATACGCAGTTAAGTAAAGCGTGAAAGTATGACAAAAGAAACTAGGACTGTTTTTTTTCTTCACATTTTTGTACTTAATATTCGTTAGGATATCGGTGAAAACTTTTTGTGTAAGACTATCATTATATAATGCACTTTGCCCATCTGTTCTGCTACAATAAATGCTGACTCTCGGTGATCTTTATACATATTTTTTCATCTATAATTATTCTTATAAAAAAAGTCGCATTTAATGAAAGCATTTGAAGTGCTTTCTAAGGAGAGGTCTATGTCCAGTAGTGGACTACTTAAGTCTGTTGATAATTATGTGAAGTCCAAGTTACTATACTCGATGTGTCCAATATTTAAATTTACAGGTGACATTCATAACAACACATCCTATAGATAAACATCCGTCCAAAAACTTGAGGCAAATTGATGTCAGCGCGAATATTCCACTTCTTGCAGGTTAGTTTTTTTTGGTTTTATGCTATAGAGAGCAATCGAGTACAGGGGTGACCTAATACTAAATGTCTACCGACGAAGTAGTTGATGGGAAGGGGGGAACTTTGAACTGCTAATACTGATAATAAATAAGTGTTGGTTTCAATACAAAATATTTTCCAGTTAAGCTTGCTTATTAACATTTGCTTCCTCCATTCTTCAAATGGGGCTATAACATCCGCAAATCTTAGGTGATGTAGCTTTACTTCATGAACGTTCAGTCTCTTCCTTCTGAGATCCAGTACAATTTGCTGTGAATACATTCGAGTATTGCGAAGAACAGTTTTGGAGATGAGTTATCTAAATTAACGTGAGAATATTATTTATAGAAGCTTCAGCGTGGAATATTTCTAATATCATTGGACATGACGTCGAAGAAGACATTCAGGGAGTACAAGACTTGTGCCGAGAAAACGCTAAGCAAACGTTTCAGAATCCAAATGTAGCTAAACTGTTAGAAGGAGATGAACACTTTGATCTCGTTATAAGCGATCTCATGGAATCAGAAGTCTATTTAGGGTAAGATATATAATTATTCTAGGCCTTGGAACTAATTTTTTAATAGATTTTTTATAAAAATAATCGATTATAGTTAAGAGAGGTTTTCAAAGACTTTTTGTTGATGCTTGGTAACTTAAAATTAGTAATTAATTGTACAATGCTTGAAAAAAAATGATTTCTGACCTTGAGTCAAGACGGAAATTAATGTTATGTAATCTATATAATGCTTTGCTAACTTGTAAACGTCCATAATATGTCAAAATTTATATCCATAAGCATTAACACGATCAAGTAACACGTATAACATGCCTTTGAATTGTCTGATATATTTTTTAGCTTATCAGTTTTGTATAACTGTCCGATGATCTGGATCTTCTCTATGGGTTCTCATTTTCAAGCAATACGCCTCATTGCCGATCCAGCGAACCCAGCATATGAGACCAACTACTATGGTACTGATGTTCCACCATTCACCTTCATGCAGAGGGTTAAAGAACTACTTGGTAGAATCAAATGGAGCTACTACAAAACGTAAGAGTCATAATTTAATTTTGTACTTATACTTGTACACAGTAGCACATGGTGTTTTGGACTTGAAAATTATACCTGCTTGATGTATACATGGAATTAAATCCCATGTAACTCGTATGTTAAATAGTCTCGAAACCTTAAAAATGATGATGCTAATTATTTTAAATTTGAGATAAGATGCTACACTGAAACATCTTACTTCTGCCCCGACTCCTGACTGTTCTCCCTTCTTCTTAAGTCACTTTGCAGTGTGTGATGTTAGGAAGAGCATAGTGTCTATTACCACGAATGCAGTGGGTTCTGACTGTCTAAGCCGCAATATGATCCTCCCAATCCTCGATGAAATCCTTCCTGTTGTTTGTCACATACTAAACTTTTCAATTGTCTACAGCGTATTTCCAACAGCTTGGAAGGATGCTGAAGTTATGCCCATCCCCAAAAAGAAAAACCCCGCATCCTTCTCCGATTACCGCCCTATTTCAGTCCTCCCTTTTCTATCCAAGGTCTTTGAACGTCTTATTCATTCTCAACTCACGAATTTCCTATCCAGAAACGTGCTCCTAAATCCTCTCCAGTCCGGTTTTCGACCTGGTCACAGTACCACTACTACCCTAGTCCATATTACGGAGGATATCAGATCTGCTATGGAGAACGGCGAGCTCAAATTTCTAACACTGCTGGACTTCAGTAACGCATTCAACACGGTCGACTTTGACGTTCTGCTGTGTACATTACGTACTCTTAACATATCTCCAACTGCGATTGACGGGTTAGCAACTACCTGCTTGGTCGCCGGCAGCGCATTAGTATTGAGAGCACTGTTTCATCTTGGTGTAGTACTACAGCCGGTGTACCGCAGGGCCGCGTGCTATCTCCCCTACTTTTCTCTGTTTTTATCAACACTATCACCAATGATCTATCGTCTTCCTACCACCTGTATGCAGATGATCTCCAGATCTATTCTAGGGCTACACTGGGTAATCTGGCTGATGCTGCTGGCACCACAAACGATGACCTAGATAAAATATGTAGGTGGAGTAACTCCCACGGTCTGAAAATAAACCCAACTAAAACTCAGGTCATCGTCGTTGGAAGTTCGAGAATGATCTCCAAAATTGACTGGACAAATCTGCCTCAAATCACTTGCAACGGCACATTTATTCCGTACTGCGATGGGGTAAAAAACCTGGGCATTTACATTGATACTACCCTATCTTGAGGACCTTAGTTACAAGAGCTGAGTCGCTAAATGTTTGCCGCTGCAGGGTCCTTGCGCCGACTTCGCAACTTTCTACCTACTACTACCAAGATTACTCTTGCAAAATCCCTTCTTCTCCCCATCCTTGATTATGCTGATGCCAGCTATCTAGACCTTACTGAATACAAATTGAATAAGCTTGAGAGACTCCAAAATCTCTGCATAAGATTGATATTTGAACTTCGCAAATATGATCGTTTCTGAATTTCGCAAAAAGCTTAAGTGGTTACCCATTCGCCTTCGCCGGAATGCACATATTCTTTCTCTTCTCTATAGTATTCTATTTAATCCTTCTACTCCACATTACTTCAAATCACGGTTTACGTTCTTGAATAACACACACTCCAAACTGTTGAGATCGTCAGAGAACCTAAAACTAAAAATGCCGGAACATTCCACAAAATTTCTTGACGTCTCCTTCTCTGTCCAAGCAGTTCGGTTGTGGAACACCCTGTCGGTCGCAATCAGACGGGCACAAACACTTGCCTCCTTTAAGAAACAAGTGAAAGAATACTACCTGGAAGACGGCAACGTCAATTAACTTCTACTAAGTTAACAAGGTCACACTTTTTCTTATAATATATGTATTTATAACTTATAAATCGTCGTATTTAATTACATGTATCTAATAACACCATATATTCCCTCTAGTATGTTATATATTCACCTAAGGCCAACAAATAGATATTATGTGTAATTATCACTTTTTATAGTTATGTATATACTACTTTGATTTCTTCTTCTTATTCTTATTCTTTTTTCCCAACACACCAGCAACTACCCAATACCTCCTATTCTTCATGTTTTCTCTCCATACCACGGTTGCCTGTAAGAGATTGCCTCTGGGCGATAAGGCCGCCACTTGTACTGAACTAGTTTCAGGTAACTAATGTACATTTATATCTGGTGTACAATAAAGTGTTATATTATTATTATTAAATTTGAGCCAAATGGGGCCAAAAGTGGTTGGTAACAAACAAGAAAAAAAGTACCGTGGCCGTTTAAGGGTCGTCTGTTTAAACATTGGAAAAATCGCTCATAAATAACATACCAAATACCCGTCATACTACAGTTGGGTGGCGACTAGCAAAGAATGATTGGAGAAGACAGGTCCGAAAGAAGCTGTATCTCAGATGGTAGTTGGTGGGCGGGACGTGTGAAAAAAAAAATGTATAGCAGAAGGATACGCACCTAGTAATTGCAGGGTTTTTTTCCAGATTTCATACTTTGCCTTTAGAAAAACAACTTTATGAAGAAACTTTTAACCCACTTCTGGCTAAGAGAGGAAGGACGTTACCTGCTTATGAAGATGTTTTATACAATGCGTCGTTGATGTTTGCTAATGAACACAGTGCCATAATCAATAGACCAAGTCATCCACAGAACTTTAAGCACATCGGTGGTATCCATATTGATGATCCTGTTAAGCCGTTACCAAAGGTACATAATCATACATATACTCGTATTTCCCATATTGATTCTGTTGTCTGACTCTTTAACGGACAAATGAGAGATTCTAAATGTACCTAAATTAAGCAAATATTTGTATAACTCTGAAAAACCAGCTCATCCAAACTATTGCTGTATTAATTTTTCGAGTCTCTCATGCCACTTTTTTTTTTAAATGGTCACTTCTGCTGGTAGGTGAACGTTGGAACATTAGTACCATAGTAGATGCCACTTAGACTGATGATTTACTCTTATTCCAGAAAGGTATGGATCCTTGAGTGTACCCGATTATGGAAGTCAGGATTACTAAGGCCCAAGTGTAAGTTTATTTCACATCTACTCGATCGTCACGGTGACCGCGTTCAGCGATGCGATTGGCCTGAACTAAAATCTGCACCAATCGCAACACCGAACGCACTTGCTGTCGAGAACGAATTGATATGAAATAAACTTGCACTAGGCCCTCTAGCTAACTTATTATTAAAATAATCCGTTGTATTTCTTTTAATTTTCATAAGTTGGAATTAAATTACATGAAATTAATAAAATTTTGAGTGCCTATGTTTGTTCACATGTTTTCACACTACATTATCCATATTTATCAGGATTTGCAAGATCTGATGGACAATGCGCCTCATGGAGTCATATACTTTAGCATGGGTTCTTTTTGGAGAGCCAAAGATTTACCGGCTGAATTAGTCAGAGAACTTCTCAAAGTATTTGGACAACTGAAGCAAAAAGTGATCTGGAAGTATGAAACTAACTTGCAAGATGTACCAAAGAATGTCCATATTGTTCAATGGGCACCACAACCAAGTATTCTAGGTTAGTACATTTTTTTTAAGCATAATACTTAGTAATGAGAAATATATATTATGTAGATTTTTAACATTAACAAATTAATTAATACTACAAATACAGATTCATTACATATAGCTATCAAGTACACTGGTCATAAATTTGGATTTTTTTTTATGCTTCAGCTACTTTTTGACTTTTATTGGTAAAGGATACTTGTTAGCTAGGAGCTGAGAGTAAAGGAGCTATTTTACTAAAAAAATAAAAACACGATAAAGTAAAAACAAGAAAGTCTTTACATACTCGTACTATGAAATAAAGTCGCGTCTTGCATGCTTAGATCTTTCCAATTACACCACAGATTTAAATGCTCTTTTCATAAATAAAAAGATTAAGGAAGTATGATTCAATAGAAGAATTAGATGAATAAAACATGCATATTAAAACAAATATAATTCGAGAATTCAAATATTTGTAATGTGATATCATACATTGCACCCTAACGAAGCCGGGGCGGGTAGCTTGTTAAATATAAATAATGGTCCTAACCACAAATTTTATTGACTATGTTTCAGCCCATCCCAACTGCAAATTGTTTATTACTCACGGAGGTCATCATTCATCAATAGAATCCATACATTTCGGAGTACCAATCATAGGTATACCAGTGCTGTTCGACCAAAAGCTGAATGTTAACAAAGCTGTCGCAAGCGGATATGCTATAAAATTGGACTTAGGTTACGATGTACCAACTAAATTAATAGAAGCTATTAATACTATGCTTACTGACGAGAAGTAAGTGTATATTTACACCAGATAAATATTCAAACTTTAGCAGTTTATGACTAAGTAAGGAAATCGTAACATGAAAATTGGAAATAGAAGAAATAGAAAAATAGGAAATAAACGATTATTAGGATGGTATTGCAGCTGTCCCGCATTCTTCTTAACAAAGAGACAGTATAGCTGGCGTGTAAGCCATCAACTCTCGCTTCTGTAAACATTATTAAACATTGTAACATTATAACATTGTAACATTGTATAAACATTCCGTCCGTCCGTCCGTCCGTGTCCGTGTGGTGACGGATTAAGAATACAAATTGTCACCACCCCAATTCATCTCGTGGGTGTCGTAAGAGCCGACTAAGGGAGCAAACTAAGCAGGACAACAGCACTGCAAAGAGAAGGAAAACTTGAAGCAAACCATATACCAACCCGTCTGGCCAGCGTGGTATAGTGAGCCAAAACCTCCTTTCTAAGGAGAGGCCTATGTCTAGCAGTGGACTAGTATAGGCTATTGATGATGATGATTGATGATAAACATTGTAACATTGTAACATTATTGAACATTGTAGAAGCACTAAATTGACGGTTACAAAAATCTATATCAAACACTACATACGATTCTTAGCTGAAATTGTTTGTGAGGTTTATTGTTTGGATTGTAATAAAAATCACTGTCGAAAACTTCTAAATATGTTATGCCAAAAAATTCTAGATATAAAACTTTGTCACTAAATTAAAATGTAAGAAGTGAATACTTAAGTGATTCCATATTAATTTAATTTCAGATATCGAGAGAGAGTCAAGGAGCTTTCATTTATTTACCACGACAAGCAATCAAAGCCAGGAGCCGAACTCGTATTTTGGGTTCGTCATGTATTGAAAACACGGGGCGCTTGGCATCTGAGGTCGCCTGCGATTAATGTACCTCTATACCAGCGTCTATATTTAGATTTGATAGCCTTAATTATATTATTCACATATATTGTAAGCTCATTATTAAAAATGGTTTTGAAAAAAAGCAATAAAAAGCTTTTAAAGAAAAAAAACCGATAAGCGATTAAAAATAGACGTTTTTATTACTTGTTGTTCTAAATGAAGTCGAGTCGCTTGTCGTGCTTTATGTACCTTTTTTATAGCAATAAATGAGAGAAAGTATCAGTATTTTTTTGTTTTCATTATGGCCACATTTTTTTTAAATCTATGTTTCTACATTGTAGTTTTCACGTTATTTTTAATTGTTATTTTAATAAAGAAGAATTATATTTTTGTTAAGGAAAGTATTTCGAAATATCGGTGCTGATACTATTTAATTATTTCGTAATTATCAGTATTATGAATTGTGATCAAGTGAGTGATAAATATTTAATATCTTATTATGGAAGTCTTCTTGTTTTTGAATTTTTTTATCAATTTTCATGTATACTTGATATTTAACAGAAGTGTACTCAAAACATCTTCCATCCACTAATATACTTCATGTCAAGATCGAATACAAAAAAAAAACAACCAAACTCAGACTAACTACAAGTTATTTACTTTCATCCACAGCCTTTACTAGTCCACTGCTGGACATAGGCCTTTCCTTATTTACTTTAGCGATCCACAATTCGAGTCATTTATTTTCTTCAAACTTTACTACTAGAGATTTTTGTGATCGCCTTCTCATTTCATACTTGAAATTTTTTCAAAGTATAATAATAGAACCAGTATTAAAAATAAGAAGTCTCTGAAAAAGCGACACAATAAGTGCTGGAAAACGAAGGTGCAGGGCGCCACGCGTGCTCACGACGTATTCCACCCAACAGGCGAATGTAATAAAAAAAAATTAGATATAAAACTTTGTCGCTAAATAAAAATGTAAGAAGTGAAAACTTAAGTGATTCCATATTAATTTAATTTTAGATATCGAGAGAAAGTCAAGGAGCTTTCTGTTATTTACCACGACAAGCAAACAAAGCCAGGAGCCCAACTCGTATTTTGGGTTCGTCATGTTGTGAAACCTCCTTTCTAAGGAGAGGCCTATGTCCAACAGTGGACTATTGAAGGCTGTTGATGATGATGATGATGTTGTGAAAACACGGGGCGCTTGGCATCTGAGGTTGCCTGCGAATAATGTACCTCTATAAAAGCGTCTATATTGAGATTTAATAGCCCTGATAATATTAGGTCCATACATATAAAATTAGCGTTTTGTCGTATTGACCACTTTGATCTGAAATTATCTCCTCTTTGGTTAAGAATTTCAAGGTAAAATTTATAAATTCATTTAGCTGGTACATTTGAGTTTTGAAAACAGTCATTCATTTGGCACAATGGAAAACATGAAATGTCAGTATATTTACGAGTACAAGTTCTACCGTGGCACCAGTGCTGCAGAAACAGCTCGAAGGATTAATGATGTGTGCGGCGCTGGTGTCGCAAAAGAAAACACGGTACGCTTTTGGTTTCAACGTTTTCGTTCTAGAAATTTCGACCTTCGGAACCAACCCCGTTGACGGCCGGAGACCAAAGTGAAAAATGAAGAATTAAAGGCTATTGTGAAAGCGGATCCATAACAAAGCACTTCAGAGATAGCTGCAGGCTTCGGGGTAAGTGATAAAACTGTATCAATCCACTTGAAGCAAATCGGGAAAGTAAAAAAACTTGAACGATGGGTACCTCATGAATTGAGTGAATCGAACTTGCAAACACGCGTCAACTGCTACTGTTACTTTGCTCAACCGACACAATAATGTAGGGATTTTAAATCGAATCATTACTTGTGATGAAAAGTGGATACTGTACGATAATCGGAAGCGCTCGTCGCAATGGCTGAACTCTGGAGACCCACCCAAATCCTGCCCTAAACGAAAATTGACGCAGAAAAAGTTACTTGTGAGTGTTTGGTGGACTAGCGCCGGTGTCGTTCAATACAGCTTTCAAAAATCTGGCCAAACGATTACGGCAGATATCTATTATCAGCAACTGTAAACCATGAAGGAAGAACTAGCTGCTAAACAACCGAGATTGGTCAATCGCTCTAGGCCACTGCTGCACACGACAACGTAAGACTACACACTGCACAACAAACAACCACTAAGTTAGATAAGCTACAATTGGCATGTCTGCGACATCCACCGTACTCCCCGACCTTGCTCCAACAGATTTCAACAGATTCAGATTTCAGATTTATTTTTGCCGGAATTTGGACAACTTCTTACAAGGAAAAAAATTCAACTCCGATGCGGCAGTTTTGTTTTATTTTCGTTTTGGGTACATTTTCTATTACACGTTATTTTAATATAGAATTATATTTTTGTTAAAGAGAGTATTAAGTATTAAGAAAGTATAGTTGCTGATACTATTTACTTCGTGATTTTCAACGCATGATAATTACATAATGGACATCAGTGAGTGATAAATATTTGAAATCTAATGAAGAAGCCTTTCTTGTCTTTGAAATTTTATTTAAAAATGTTAAGAACACATTAGAATTATTTGTTGCTTTATATTTAACAGAAGTGGACTTAAAGCACCTTCCATCTACTAATATACTTCATCTCAAGATCAAACCTAAAAAAAAAACACTCAAAACTAACCATAAGTTATTTACTTTAGCGATCCAGAACTCAAGTCAATCAGTATTGAACATTTTAATCTTTCTTATTTTTCACTTGAGAGTTTTTTGATCTTCTTTTCATTACATACTTGAAAATTCTCCAAAGTAGAAATAACAGAACTAGTATTAAAACTAAGAAGTCCAAATAAAATCTCTGGAATAGTGACACGGAGAGTGCTGGAGAACGAAGGTGCAGGGCGCCACGCGTGCTCACAACGTATTCCACCCAATAGGCGAGAGCAGCACCGGGTTTCATCTGACGATTGTGGAATGTTGAGGATACCTCTTTGGCTTTGGTTTTAAATCTGCGAAATAATTTGATACAAGAACATTCAGACTTATCTGTAGAACCGTAGAGGAGTACAAAGTATAATCTAGACACCTAAATTTCACCAGACACCTAAAGTCAACTTTAATATGCTCTCTTTCTAAGGGTCGTAGCATGGTGTTAATGATATATATTCCTCAATAAATACATTAAAATAACACAAAAAAGTGACTGATAAAAAGCTCTTTGTATTTATTTTACATAATAATAACTAACTCTGCCTATCGCGGCTTTGAGTGTGCATATTTATCTTCAGTTGCTGCTCCACCCGTTCTATAGCCGGGGCAAACAGACAGACGAAAATTGTTAACGTAGATTCGGGGTATCTAGGCCGTGTAAATTTATTCTTTGCTTTATTATGATATTACAATCAGACAATTCATGTTCATCTAGAGATATATATCATCATATAGATTAATATGAATAAAGGATATAGCTGTAACCACGTTCATGAGCCTTTTTCAGTTTAAGGATTGGTATACAAACTTGTCTGTAATTAATCATCTAAATCAAATTATTCTTATTCCTTGAGGCATTGATTTCTTATAATTCATTAATTCTCTCTCTTAATCTATATGTAAAGGTATTAAGTAATACTAATGAAACTTACGAATCATCAGATATCACCTTTCTTATAGCAGATTCAAGTTCATCGGCCATGTCTTCAGCCAATGGGACTTTTATTCCATAACCTTTACTCTCTACTGATGCCATGTTTAAATGCTGATCGGCCATAACAGGAATACCAACTACTGGCACACCAAAATGTACCGCTTCTGTAGTGGAAAGTTGACCACCGTGGGTGATAAATAATTTGAGATTTGGGTGAGCTGAAATATTTGTAAAATAAATATATAAAAATGTATATGGCTCACCTGTTCTGGGAAGGGTCTTGGGAGAGGTATATATTTTTTTTTTTTTTTTTTTATTCTGATAATTAAATTATAGTACATAGGTTACTTAATTCTAAACTCGCCAAACTTTTACGTTTGAAGGCGAGAAGCGCTCTCTCACATAACCATGATTCACCCCATATTCACTTAATATTGGACACAATAGTACATAAAATAGTAATATGCATATAAACACATGATATTTTGTTATTACTTTAGTACTACCCTTGTAAGTAAGAATAATATGTATGTAATATATGAATTAAATACTAACACCACTTATATATTAATTTTTTTTTTTTTTTTTGGTTTAATTTACTAAAATGGACACTTATTTATTTCTAGTCGCAATCCTGTATAATGGTTTTTAATTTTGTCTTAAGTGACCCTTTACTGATTTTTACTTTTTCTCTTAATAAATCTATTTTGTTAAACACTTTAGGTACTAAATACTTAGATGTTCTTTTACCATAATAATTTGTTATCCGTGGTTGAACCAGTTTGTTCTCTCTAACCCTACGTGAGTTGTACTTGTTTTTAACATTAACTTTATATTCATCCTTAAAGTAATATTCCAGACCTATCAAATAATCTACCTTTTTATCTATGGGTATAACTTTACAAATGGGAAATAATTTATCATAATCTTTGTTGCACTTATCTTTAATATTTTTACCCACTAGAAATTTGATCAGTCTTTTTTGTATGTCTTTTATATCTCTTAAATATGTAATGAAGGTTCGACCGTATACAAGGAGTCCATAACTTAGTAGCGAGTCAGCAAGTGCGAAATAGACTGTTCTTAGCGTCTGTTTGTTCAATACATTTTTTAATTGGTAAAACTTACTAAGCACCGATCTTAGGTAGGTGGTTTTTGCTGGAGTGATACCACAAGCGGTGTTAAACAAATCTTTAGTTTTATTTAACCGAGTTAGTGAAGTTACCGGAAGCCCAACTGAATTTTGATAGGGAGGCCTCAAAAGCAGGCAATACACTTGTAGTCACTTACTATCAGGGAAGATATTCGCTCCTTTGCCTACCATATTATAAAAGTGTCACTATGTAAAAAGTGAGGGTGCTGGATTTTATTTTTATAATATTTCGGACATCTGCCACACAACACCATCTAGTTTCAAACTTTCTTCTTTCTTTTTATTAAGTTTCTTTTAAAACTAAGCAGAGCTGGCACTATAAAATCTAGATTGACTGATAAAATACTTTTATACGTTTTTTAAATATACATAGAAAATACCCAAACTCCGAAACAAATATTTGCAGACCATACAAACATTGGGTCCAACCTGGGAACCGAACCCAAGACCTCACCACAGCAGTCGCATACGCTACCACTGCATCACCGAGACAGTCAAAATATTGATTATCATTTTACATTTAAAAATCTGAAGAAATGAAAACCATTCCAGAATTTATAACCAAAAATCATGTCCATAGTTCTACTTGATTCCTGGAAATAAAAATTACTCTTTAAACATAGAACGTTGCTTTTTTAACCAAGGCTTACCCAAGATACTTGGTTGCGGTGCCCATTTTACAAGGAAAACATTAGGAATCGGGTTTTCCATATGACTCTCAAATTTCCATATGACCGTCTGGTCAAGTTTGCTGAAAATTTTCAAAAGAGATTGTTTCATTTCTTCGGACATGCCGTCACTTTTAGTATTCGATCCCAAACTGAAGTAAATCACCCCATTTTCGGCTCCATCCATTATTGTCTGAAGGTTCTGAGAAAAGGTTATTATTGACATTTACGCCTTGCAATGTAATAGTAAAGTACAGTTAAAGAATACGTGATTATCGTAGACCAATGCACTTGGATACTATTCCAAATTTATTTTTTTAACGTATTACTTAGTCACAATCGGGAAATTTGTGACGCTTTATGGATGGGTTTTACTCAATCAAGCTACTCAACTAGAAAGGCTGAACGGATCTCGCAAACCAAAATCAGAAATACATAGAATCTACAATGTATTAGCACAAAATTGATTGACAAAAATGACATTAACGCTATTTACATAAAGTACCTTTGGTAAAGGCTTGATCTTCTCTTGGATGTGATACCCGGCGATATTTATAGCATTTTGGGGCAACGGCATAGCCCCTGCAATAGATGGATGTGAGTTTAGGAACATTAAAGATCCATTGTATATTGCTTCACTGTAAGACGGTATGCTAACACCTCTCTTTGCTGCAATTTCAGAATATATGCTGTCGTATACCCAGCTTTCCACAGGTACTTGAATCAAACTGTAAGGAAATAAGTTTTCTATAACGTTAAACCAATAATAATGTTTCATTATCAAGTAAAGTTTTTAACTGGTTAAGAAAATTAAAAGGTCTTTTTCAAACAAGAAACTTACAATTTCAAAACTTATTTCATGAATACACCTTTGATTTGAAACGAAATAATGTCAATATATACAATAAAGATTAATGTAACACAGTTTTTAAAACTTGTCATAAAATCAACTTATCTCCCTCAGATAGCACCTTTTTTTGCAGACGGATCACCTGATAGAAAGTGACCATTGTCGTCCATGAACGTCTGCATCTCAGGAGTCACAAACGCGTTACCGGCCTTTTAGGAAGGAGTTCGCTCTTTTAGATTTCCGGATTTGCTTTTATGTTCGAATCACGTAGGTAAACGTCTTGTACACTGTGGATCTCTTCTGTATCTTATTTTTGAGTATTTGAAAGTATTCAAGATATTTTATATAACTCTTTCATGAAAATTAAAACCTGCTAAAATGAGGACTACTGTCATGGTACTCTGAAGGATGATACAGATCGCTTGAGCTACAGTTGATAGTTCATGCCAGTGATACTTGTTATTGCCATAAACTGACATATTTTTTTAAAAGACAACTTCGCATTAGGAATACATTCCTGTGTCGCGGGAGATTTTACAAACATACATGAAACGGACACAAAGAACATCCAGACTCCGAACAACCATTTCTGGATCACACAAAGTATTGTTCCATGTAGGGATCGAACCCACAACCCACCGTTAAAACCGGTGTTTAAACCACCGTTTAAACATCAGTGCAGTTAAACTTAAAAATTAATATAAAGAAAATTTAAACCCAGACACAGACCAAATGATCGTGTTCATCGTACAATTATGTCTTGGGCTGGCAAAACAGACACACTGCACTTATTGAGTTTTCAATATCAATACTATAACTATAGTTAAAACAATTCAAATATTTGAGAGTTTCAAAAATCACTATCCCAAGGGAAGCCAAAGGTTTCGGCTTCGGGCCGCAATCAGGCCGCCAATAGTTTGAAAAATAACTCAATATACTTACTTTAATAAAAAGAACCTTTTCATAAATCTCATCAATCGATCCACTCTTTCGCAAAAACTCAATGGAGGAATGCTTGTCGTGAACAAATCAACACTGTAGGCTGGATTCGGAATTTGGTCCATTAACCTCAATGGCTGCCAATGCGGTTCAGTGGAGACAACCCAGATCATTGGTACCTCAAATAGATGAGGTATCCTGGAAAAAACACTTTAGTACTTCTACATCCACATATTTTTATTTCTGTTAAGCCGCCATGATTACTTACTTAATAGTAGTCTTCATATAAGCCTCTCCTTAGAAAGGAGGTTTTGGCCTACTATAACACGGTTGCCAAGCGGATCGGTCGGTTTGTTTTAAGTTTTTCTTCTGTTGTCCTGTTATGTTTGCTCCCTTGGTCGTCTCTTATGACACCCACGGAATAAAGTCCGTCAACACAGTCAATTTTTCAAATGTGCATTATTATAAAAATATCGTGGGAGACCCATTCAACAAATATGGACTGACCCGACCACAACCTTAAGCAATTTTTTTGATGCTGCGCACCGAGTAAGTAAAGTTACCTTAGCAAATTCCTACCTGAAATTCCTTGAGGACACTCAAAAGGCAGCGGCACTCGTGTCTCTTGAGTTGAAGGTGTCCATGGGCTGCAGAAGACACTTACCATCAGGTGACCCGTCTGCTCTTTTGCCCGTACACCATAAGAAAAAAAAACACATAATATTCTCACCCAGCATGTAATTCAGAGAAGAACCATTCAAGGATTACAGCATCAAATTTTTCCTTCGGATCACTCAATAGCTTCACTACATTAGGGTCTTCAAGTATTTTCTTGTGTATTACAAAAGAGAAGAAATTAAATAATATAGAATCTCCTATATTTCCTTTGGTAATAATATTTTTTATTTTCATCGCCCCGCCTAAAATAAATGACAAGAAAAATTTGATATTGAAGGTGAGTGATATCAAATATGACTTTAATGATTATTAATAATAATAAACTCACAGGTCTCACACACGACCTTCTGATCCCAAGTAAGGCAGACCCTGTACTACGGTAAGCAGATTGTTGATTAAAATACTTATATATTTGAAACACAAAACAAATGATCGCGCTCATCACATAATTATTTGTCCCGGGTGGGAATCGAATCCTCCATAATCTGGCCTAGCAGTCAGGATCACCAATCAACCACTACACCAACAGGCCAGTTTCTCCCACCGAGGGTTCCCTACAAATTTATTATTATAAATAGTTCAGGAATCGAGTCTTGCAGTTTTATCCGAGCTTTTCCCGAAATTTATTTTCCAAATCCTATCGTTACTTATATTATTGTGTTTATAAAGGATCTTGAGATATGGACAGAACGACAGACAGACAACAAAGTGATCCTATAAGGGTGCCGTTTGTTCTTATTGAGGTACGGAACCCTAAAAAACACACACGAACACACTCTTTCTGTTTTTGAAGTCAGTTAAAAAGAGGAATAATTGCATAGAATATATTTACTTTTTTCTGCCTCCTCTCGGTAAACCTTTGATACAGATGAAACGTCTATTTCTTTTAGGTTGGGCACTTTTTGTTTCTTTGGGAATGATGTTATGTGGACAACCTGTATAAAAATGGGTACAATAAGATAATACAGATAAATTAAACAAAACTGTCTCTCACTAATAATTTACTACGAGTATTAATTAACATAATACCATGCAGTATTCGTGCTTTTGTTTATCGGTCTACATAATTCAATTCAATCCAATCATTGTTATTAAATAAAAAGTTACATTAGTGTTACAACCAAAACTTTGAAAATATGTATATTATTTATGCAAAAAAAAACGATTGTATCTAAAACTGAAAATCTGAAAATTATTTACAATGTGGCAATTATTTACTCGGATATTATATTTAATATTTAATACTTTGACTGCACGGATGGCGTAGTGGCTTAAGCGGTCGCCACGCCGCTTACTACTGCGCCGAATGTTGTGGGTTCAAACCCCACATGGGACAACACTTTGTGTGATCCACAAATTGTTGTTCTGAGTCTGGGTGTACTATGTGTCCGTTTCATGTATGTTTGTAAAGTCCGCCGCGACACAGGATTTATTCCTAGTGCGAGAGAAAGACAACTCTCTTAAAAAAGATAAAGATAAAAGAAAATAATTATACCTTGAATCATCTTAGACACGGCTGCCTAATCCAGAACTAGACAGAAACTGTACTATAGTAGCCAGACTGTTTACAAACATAATCATAGATTTCAAAACACACATATTATTTATTATATAAACTACACCAAGCTATAAAACAAAATTAAGTGATCATGCTCGACCAACCCACGACCTCTGGCTTAGCAGTCAAGACGCTAACCCTAAATGAACAAACCTGTCTTAACACTAATATAAGTGTAATAGTAACTATTAACGTAATAAGGTACTTCAAAATCGCACGAAATATCGCGTATTTGTTTACACAGCGGACTGACGTCATGACCACAGAGCAAAATGCTGCGTCCAGCGTTGACGTCAAATTACGCGCGATGTTTGAAAATGTACAATTGAAATGTAATTCTATGGCACTTATTGACTTGTTTTATAATCACTATAGAATCTAATTGAGACACTTTAAAAATGGGTGTTGTAATTGTAAAAACTGGCTTATTGAAATAGTGTCATTGAGTACGTAAGAGGCGACTAAGGGCGCAAAACAACGCAGGACACCAGCACTGCAAAAAGAAGGAAAACTTGATACAAACCCCATACCAACCCGTCTGGCCAGCGTGGTATAGTAGGCCAAAACCTCCTTTCCAAGGAGAGGCCTATGTCCAGCAGTGGACTATTAAAGGCTGTTGATGTGATGTGATACATGAAACTGTTAAAACTTCTTTACCTCATGACCGGCTTCCAACAAGCGGTCTACAACGCCATAACCCAATATGCTGTGACTTTTTGAAGGCATTGGAAAACATACCAATATCCTCAAAGCTTCGTTTATTGTTATTAGACTACACATAATTATAAACAATGGTATTCTGTACCGCATCTGTAATAAAAACCAGGTGAAGTTATTTCTTTAAGTCGTAATGAAGTCGTATTTTTTTAAAAATAATCGTAGTACTTAAATCTTTTTTTGAAACTGAAAGTCGTATAAGAGAGTACTGCAATGAATTAAACTCTTGTATTTAATACCAATCCTGGAAACGCCGGCTTTCCTGAAATTATCTGTATAAAAAAAAACATAAGTTGTTTAAAAGCTGTGTTTTCTGCTATTGAAAAAGCATTGCCCGAAATTAAAAAGTCTTTTTTTTTTAATTGCTAAGAAAATTGCATAATACACATGACGCTTTAAATTTGGTTGGTGACAAGGTGACAAATATGAATGGTCATACAATAAAAAAAAAAGTCTTTTTTTAACGCTAAGCCGAGATGTTTTCAAAATATCTTACTCTCTCAAGACTTAAAAAGGTATTCAATTGAAAGAATATAATATTTTGAGGCCACAACCTTACTCATTATTTGCAGTTATAGGAGGTGAGGGCAAGACGGTTAAAATAGTTTACGAGATTACGACCTATTCTCATAATCACTAAATATATATTATTTTTTTAACCTGTCGAGCTATTTCAGAGGAGTGTTGTTACAAACCCTGTGACACGAGATATTTTATTATTTTTATTTTTTATTAAATATAAATGTTACTTTACTTTGGACTTACCTTCGGTTAATATTTTTAGATTGATTATATCACCAATTTTATTCAATTAATACAATATATATTTAATCTAAGACTTTAACTAAACATTTATATTCTTTATTTATGTGTAATAACTCCTAAAATCACTCAATATTCACAACAATTTTAATTTCTCAGTCGTACACGATTAAAATTGTTCTTCACCATTCAGTTATCAATTAACGTATCAGGCAAATTTTGATATTACTACATACCGATAACTAATTATCTTTAAACGATAAATCCATAAAACTGTCACACAGTAGAAAGTCCAGCGTAAGTGAAGTTCGCCCTGAAGAGATTTTATGAGAATGGTGAGGGAAATTAAACTGACTAATTTTATAGAATGGCAGCCATATTTGTATTTTTTTTTTAAACTTTTTGCACTTTTGTACATCGGCGGACTTAACGCCCAGGACATTCTCTTCCAGTGAACCTTTGTGAGGTGTAGAAAAATTGCACTGATGTTTCATATTATGTAATCACGTATACACAAATATTTACACATACATATATATAAATATATATTTATACACATAGACATTCCCACATATTTGTGTTTTCTTTTAATTAAGCGCACAAAATATATTACAATCTAAATCTAACAGAAACACAAAAATATAGTTCACACAGCAAGTTCATGTTGCAAATAGAGAAAACTGCTCAAATTTAGAGGAAAATGTAATCATGACTTATATTTTTAATCATAAGAATATTGTTATGCATATAGATAGGTATATTGTAAATAAATGATTGTGTGTGAATAAATAATGACCATGTGTAAAGACACACACGCTCATTATTTATTTACGAATACAGAAATATAAACAAATTTATTACAAGTGTGAAAGACATCCTCCAAAATAGTTCTAGTGTTTCATATGTTTTGTGGTTTAAAAAAGACACAACTCCCGCATAAGGAATATATCTTTTTCAACCATACTCGTACATGAAACGGACACAAAGAACACCCAGACTGAGAACAACAATTTGTGGATCACACAAAGTGTCGTCCCATGTGGAGATCGAACCCACAACACTCAGCGTGCTAGTAAGCGGCGTGGCGACCGCTTAAACCATTAGGCCATTCTTGCAATCAAAATTAAAAAATAAAAGGTGACAATGTAAAAAAAGAAACAGATGCAAATTTCTAAGCTACCATAACATAACCATAACATATAAAAAGAATGTTTTGGCCATCTGACACACAACGTTATCTAGTTTCAAACTAAGCAGAGGTTGTACTATGAAAGCTAGTTTGACTGTTAGAATACCTAAATACCTTTTTTTTTGTAAATACATACATATTATACATAGAAAACACCCAAACTCCAAAAAAATATTTGGCGGTCATTCAAACATTTAGGCCGACCCGGGAACCCGAGACCGCAGCACAGCATACGCTACCATTGCACCACCGAGGCAGTGATGATATAGATCTCAGGCGCTACTCATACAACTATCATATACTTATTAACGAGTTTAACTACCGTCCTGATAAACTAGTTTCTGCTCTCGACTTTACTAACACTAATATAGATTATATCAAATGATTAACATACCCCAACAGATACTCTTTTTGAGGGGAAAGGTACCCCATCCTCTTTTCTGTGCCCCTGACCATCTGTAAGCAAAAGTTCAATGATGTTCGGTTGAGTTCTTACAGCTTAAAAATAATACACTAAGAAAGAAAACAATTTTGCAAATATGTATACAATCTTAGTTATTACAAGCTTTTGGTTAAAACTTGTAATAACCACGGCTTGCGATAAAGTTCTTTAAAATTAAATTAAATGAAGAAAAAAATTGAAACGAATGAGTTTAAACGTGAAAGTCACAAGGAAACGAGGATTAAATGTAAAATGCCATTATAATGTTGATACAAGCCAAAGAATGCACCTTGTTTTGGAAATATCTCAATTCGATTTAAAAGAAACTCTTCGTTATACACCACACCAAAATGAGTAAAATTCATTAAAAGGCTTAGAAGAGAAATCATTTCAAAAACCAGTCAAATAAATATGTGTTTCCCTAATTTCCCATTCTATTCCCCACATATTTGACCCCGATAAGGAAAACTCCCTAAATAACTATAGAAAATCAAATGGTATGGTATTTAGGTTAAACAGGATTTTACTCGATTATTAAGCGCCATCTAACGGGCTACTATTTCTCTACCGCACTTAACCCTTTTAAACCAGAACCATAGACCGTAGCTTATCAGGCATAGAAGGCGATATCACAATACTTTGAGTCAAATGACGATATAATATATAATTATATAAACACATTAAAACAATATTTATATTAAGATAAGATTGCTACAGATTTCTAGCAATGACTCAATCCGAGTTAGTAAATTGACTTAACTCGAATATTATCTGTTATGAAAGTAAATTGTTTTCGACAACGTTATAATATCAAAATGTTTGAGAATTTTTTGATTGTTAAAATTAAACTATTGAGTATTTAGGTGGCAAAGCTAGTCTGATATTATTTCGTGAAAAATTGCTTTGTTTAAACGATTTACATTTAAATTTGGTGATCAAGAATTGTATACATATATTGTGATAAAATAGAAATTGCTTCATAACTCAATGGTAACCAACCCTTCTGGCCAGCGTGGTATAGTAGACCTAAACCTCCTGTCTAAGAAGAGGCCTATGTCCAGCAGTGGACTATCAAAGGCCGTTGATGATGATGATAAATTCAATGGTTTTACGGAAAAGTTTATTATAATTGTGTGCGGTACACCAATACAAAGTTGTTTTTTATTATTAAATATAAGTACTTGATAAATATATCTACATTAAACTAAATCTGAATAATAATTTCAAACCAATCACTGAAAGGTATTTAAAGGTGGATACAATAATTTCATCAGCACAATTAGAGTTCAATTGGAGTTTGATTTTTAATTCTATCTAATTTAATCTAATTAGTCGAGTTAAATCGAATCGGCAAATCTTTTGAGTGTGAAAAAAATGTGTGATTTATTATTGGAATATAATGTATTCTGTCTTATCTATGAAATAAATACCGAGTTAAAGTAAAAGGAAGGGATTATCAAATTTTATTAGGAGGAGGAGGAATATAGGCTGAAAAATGCTAATTGACACAATGAAATATAAATTAAAACGATTGAGTTCTGTTTTATGTACACAAAAAAGGCAGAGATTTCATCAACATCCTTCAAATTAAAACATGGTTTATTTATGTACCTTTCGCTTACGAAATATTAGCCTAACCTGTCAATGTTAAATTTAAATAAGTCAGTATTAAATGCTCTATTGAAAATCACGTATTTTAAGGACTTTTATTTAGTTCCGATATGACCCTCAAACCTTCAAGAAAAGAGCGCACTCCTTCCCCAAAGGCTGGCAACGAGCTTGAGTCTCCTGAGTTGCAGATGCGGTGGTAGTCGCTCTCCATCAGATGACCCGTCTGCTCGCTGCCCCCTATTCATTAAAAAAAAAGTTCTATGTAATATTGTTAGTATTTTACATTATTGACGGGGTAAACCCCGTTAGAACCATAGAGTGTAGCTGTATGGTTCTAAAAATAGTAGTTTCTATAGTAGTTTCTGTAACAAACTGTATGCATATACATCATGATAACGCCTGGTGTCAATATACTAATAATTTTAAAGGTCAACATAAGTTCATGCTGCTGTTATACTTACCTATCTATGATCTTAAGGTACTTGAAGCAAGTTATCAAGTCGGAATAAACAAATAATATATCCGATAACACTAATAAATAGTCCAATAACTTGACTGCCTCAGTGGTGCAGTGATAGCGTATGCGACTGCTGTGCATAGGTATCGGGTTCGATTCCTTGGTCGCAGAAAATGTTTGTGTGATCTGCAAATATTCGTTTTAGAGTTTGGGTGTTTTCTATGTATAATATGTATGTGTTTACAAAAAAAGTATATTAGTATTCTATCAATCTATCTAGCTTTCATAGTACAAGCTCTGCTTAGTTTGAAACACGCTGGCCACTATAGCGGATGGTGGAGAAAACCCGTCGCGTCCACCCGCAGCCACACTCAGAGTGGCATGAGGCGCTGGTAAGCGCGTCTACGCTGCCCGCTTCGCCGGCGGCGAATTGGGTCCGAGTGAAGGTTATCCTCCCGTGCCCTCTCCGCCGCCTCCTTCTTCGAGATGACGACTTCGCAGAAGGATGCAACCGCGTTGAAACATCGGTCACTAACGGCCATGGAGACTGCCCCTGATGACTGCAATGAGGACCCGGCGTTGCGGCGCCCAAGCCATAGTCAGCGTGTGCTGAGCCGAGTCCTCACTGCAATCGCAGTGGTGACAGGCGGGACTCAATTCCCTCCTAGCGACCGAGTGCAGGTACTTTCCAAAGCAGCCGTGCCCGGAAAGGACCTGTGTGAGTCGGAAGTAAAGGGTCCGTGCCCTGTCCACTCGATTATTCAATAGGCCCTGTCTTAGTCCATCAGTGTTCCAGGACTTTCAGCGAGATCAATTCTCTAGATTGGGATCAATCTGTTCCGAGCCCTCATTAAGGTTTTGGTTGTTTTTTGAGCCTGATCCTTGACTGAATGACACTTCGACGAACCCTTCCGACAGCTTCTTTCAAGGTGATTTGCCATAAAAAACAACCATAAATAATAAGATTCTTTATTTAACAATGTACGGAAATTCTCAAGGTAACAAAGCTATCCTCTTTTTATCAGAATCTTCTAATATTTATTAAATACAATATTCTAATTTGAGTCCTTGATATAGAATTTTATTTAATACTACCTGCGCCCCGATCTGTTACCCGCGGGTATTGTTGTACCTTACTTAGCTGATGTATTCATTCAGGCTTTCAGCTACCTCCATACCAAATTTCATTTAAATTGGCACAGCCGTTTGTGCGTGAAGACGTAACAAACATTCAAACACACACACTAACAAACTTTTGCCTTTATAATATAAGTGTGATTGGAATTTTAATAATACTCAAAGTTAAATCATTCTTTTAATACCTCTACAACGTTTCTGTTATAAATTTCTAATGAATGACGTTTTAATATTCGCTAATAGATATGAATCTATAAAATAATAAGATGTATTGTAACGAAAATGCGTCATAGTTACTAAAAAATAACATAGAATTATATCATCTTATTTCATTTCAGTCATTAAATTTGAGATGATAAGTTAAAGATGTGTCCATGTCCGTGTGGTGACCACCCCTTTTATGTTTTTTGTTTGTATTATTTGAATGTTTTGTTTTGGTACAGTTCTAAAAATTGATGCCGTCAGTACATACTGGCATAAAGACTTGCTTACTGTACAA